GGGGGGAGCAGACGCGTACCTGTCGATGTGGACGGTGTCCTTTTTCACCTGTGTCCTGCGTGGGGTTCTTTGTTTCTGTTGTTTTTGAGGGGCAGGGGTGAGGAGGAGCTCAGTCGGCTGCAGACCCAGTGCGTGTTGGAAGTTAACCTGTGGGATTTCCTGCTAGCTGTAGATGAGCTTGACATTCATCAACTGCGCTTACCTTTTTTCTAAGAAGAGTAGCTGAGCGGAGCTCCCTGCGAGACTAAAACACCCGGGAGTGAACTGCGTTGGCGTCACCACCGCTGGGCTCTGCCCCCGCCCTGCAGGAGCTCACACTGGGCGGCCAGGGTTGTCTGCAGCTTCTTTCCCGACGGCTTTTGGGTTCACCGTCACGCTTGCATTAGTTTGGGGCCCGCCTCGGCCCTCAGCACGCACAAGTAGTCCTCCTCATGTAGCCGGGCCCCCAGACACGCGTTCCTTACGTGTTTTTGAAAGCTCTCCAGCTGTCCATGTGTCTGTCTCAACATCTGTCGAGGCGGGGGCTCCATTTTTTTGTAAATGCCTGATTCGGTTTGAGATATGTGGGCGCAGGAGGGACGGTGGAAAGGTAGCCCCAAGGGCCCCTGACGACCCAGAGAAGTTGCTGCTAGGAAGGCCTCGGCTGGTTCTAAACCTGGTCCCACTGGTGACAGTCTGGGTGTGTGTGTGGGGGAGAGTCAGTTGTGAAACTCCCAGACTTAAAAAAAAACCCAAAAACTAATGTAAGGCTTGCTTTTTTTTAAGCAGGCCAGTGGTGCCTGGAGTAACAATTCCAGGTACCTGCCCTGGTACCGCCCGCCCCGCCTGTCCAGCTGCATCCCTGGGGCATGGGGGTGGGTCTCGGGGCTGCACCCTGCTCCAGAGCAGCCCCCAAGGGACTAGCTTAGCACCAGCCTGTCTTGCGTGGAGTTTAGTGCACTGTCCAGAAAGACGAGTCCCTGCTCTGGTTCTTCTGCTTTTCATGCCACCAGCCGAGGTGCATGATCTGTCTTGAGATGCTGTGTGCAGAGTGACATGACTCAGTGTCCTAGATCCAAGGGACAGGATGGTGGGAAAGGCCTCACGCTGTGATGATCGGGGTGAGGAGATCCCGTGCTTCTCCCCTGGGGAGGAGGTCTGGGCTGGTCATCTGGCGTCCAGGCTGGCTTGCGAGGGGCGATCACTCCAGAGCATGTGCCTTCGGAGATGGGTCTGTGTGTGTGTGTTGCAGAGGAGAAGACTGGTCAGCTGGGTTGTGGGGCATGTTGTTGACCCGGAACTGGTGAAACGAGCACGTGGGAGGCCGAGGCTCAGAGCCCGTCCGTGAGGACGGGGCAGCTCTCGCCCGGGGGGTGAGGACCTGGCCGACCACAGCACTGCCCTCCTCCCTCCCTGCCTGGTGAGTGGGGGCAGGGCGCATAACCGGACCCTTCCCTTCCTCCTCGTGCACTCACTGGCTCCGGTGTCAATTGTAATCTGAAATTGTTTACATCTCTGAGCGAATGTACCCTTTGAACTCCTCGTTGCTGAGGGACCCGTACACAGGAGAGGCCCTGTTAACCCGAGGTCACAGACGGTGGGGGAGCGGTCGCCACACCTGCAGACCCTCTGAGCGAAAGGCCAGGCGCAGCCCCATCCTCAGACACACCCTGCACACACCCTTGTGTGTCCTTGTTCGTCGCTGCTCTGGAAGCAGCACATTTCTGGGTCCTACATGTCACTCCTAACTCCAGAGCTGCACACACAGGGCTGCATGTGGTGAACACGAGCCGTCAAATGCCAGCAGGTTCTAAGGAAGGAGGTTGGTGGCTTTGGAGCCTTAACGTAGATTTAAGTTGTGGATTTAAGCCCCATAAGCTTTAGTTGGAAAATGGGACTTCTGGTTAACAAAGTTTTCATATATAAGGATAATTTTCAGCAAGTACAACAGCAGCACGGGCCTGCCAAGTGTTTTCTTGATGAGGAAGGCAGTGTGGAAGGCAGCGCCGCCTCCAGGTCACCAGAGCGGAATCCCAGACCCTGTGTGTGTGGTTGGCGGCACCTCCACGTGGGCTGGGAGTGGCAGGGACGCCAAGGGGTGTTTCTGGTAGGCGAGGGCCAGATACGCTGCCTTTGGAACTCCATCAGGAGAGAGATTGCCCCGAGATCATGAGAAAGCTCCCCGATGAGCCTGTTGGTCCCCCAGAGACACAAGTGCTCAGAAGCCAGCATGGACAGCACAGTCCTCGCCTTGTCGTGACGTAGGTGCCTGTGTGAAAACCCTCCCCTCGGTCTGCAGAGAGGGGACACGTTCCACAGGTACCTGTCGTCCTGCCCACAGAGACAGGAGGGGGTGGGTGAGAGGAGTCGGCAGGGGGTCGTCCTCCGTGGTTGGTGACACGAGCTGTGTCCTGGGTGGAGCCCCCTCTCCTCCTCTGACGTCAGGTTCTCCAATGCCTGTCGTGGAGGGGCCCTGGTGGGTGACGTTCGCTTGGCAAGAATGAGTTTGACGGGGTGGTGGTGGTGGTGGGCAGTCTTGTCTGGGGCACGGGCTTCAGTCTTCAGGCTCACCCCACGCTCTGCCAGAGGCCGCGCTCTGCCAAAGGCCGCGCTCTGCCGGTGTGCGCGGTGGCGCCCAGAGGGCGAGGTCCGGGGGCCTGGTCCGGGTGCGTGGTGGAGGGACCCAGTGAGACAGCACGGGGCTGCACTGAAAACGGGTCCGTCGTGGGTCACGCTGCCGGGGGTGTCAGGTGTTTGTTCTCAATCGTTATTGTAATCTATTTTCAGGTGTTCTGTTTCCTAATTTAATTCTCTCACCCTGTTGTCTGACTGTGAACTGCTAACAGTGTTAAACTTGATGTAAATAAATGAGGCCCTCGAAAGGGGAATGCTGTCCGCCTGTTGTCTCACAAGGCTTGCCAACTCGTTTTATTTTAAATAAAGGTTGCAATATTTTATTGGCAAAGTAGGCTTTTTGATTGGAGCGTTCCGCCATCATTCTGACAGGGGCTCAAAGCAGATTCGTCTCTATGTGAAATAGACGTCTGTAAGGTCCAGCAGCTGATTGTAGCCGCCACCCCGGTGCGTTCTTTAGAATGTCCTCTGGGGGGCGAGCACTCACCCTCTGATGGATTCCACTTTTGGAAATGGCCAAAGGCATCATCTGGAGCCCAGCTGGTACCTAAGGTGGGTAACTCTGTGTGTGCGTATGTCTGTCCGTCAGTCCGTCCAGTGGGAGGTGACTGTAAAATGAGACTTAATTCTCTTAAAGCGCATTCTGAGGACAACTGCAAATAAGTTCTAAAAATGGTTTGAGCCAAAGTAGCATTAAGAGTAAGCTTAGAACCTCACAGGGAACATTCTACTCTTGTTTGACTTGGTCTTCAAATTTCTTTTTGAAATGAGGCATTGCTTTTCAAAGCCGAGTTTTCAGCCAGTCCTGGTGGGCTACATGCGTCTTCAGGGAAGACCCCCCCCCCACTGCGTTCTTCTCCCTGCTGTGCCTGGCGCCTGCGGAGGAAACGTGTGGTTCTTGCGGAGGAAATCCGGATTGTTTGGGAGCAAGGCGCTAAAGCACAGGAGCTGGAGTCGGACCGTCCGGCTGCTGCCCCCACTCCTGCCCGCAGCTTTGGGGCTCTGCCCGAGCCACTTCCCCCTCCGCGCCCCAGCTCTCGTCTTCACCTGGTGATGAAGTCGGCGCCCAGGTGGGAGCGGTCAAGATCACATGCAGTCAAGGCCACCCAGTGCTGGCTCAGCACGGGGCCTGGCACACGGTGAGTTCTCCAGCGTCGGCGGCCTCGCTGGGGTTCCCAGAAGGAAAACGAAGGGGAAGGCGCAGTCCTGGCTTGGAGAAGGGTGTCCAGACTGACAGCTTTGGCAGGTTTTTGTTGTTACCTGAGCACTGGAATAGCTCATTCAGCCCTCACAGCAACCCCAGCAGGTAAGTACAGTCGTGCTGTCTCAGAAGCGGAAACCGAGGTTAAGCCGGCCTCGCTGGCTCTCCTGGCGTCACGCAGTGGTGCCTGGCGGGGCCACACTCCAGACAGGCGTTCGGAGCCACTGTGTCCCAATGACCACTCGGTCCCAGGTGTGGGAGGGAGGGCTAGGCCTGTGCTCACGACATTGGACACGGCTGGCCACTGCTGAGAGGATGGCAGCCGAGACCTGAAGCTGTAGAAGACACCTCTTACCATGTGTGAGTTTAGGGCTGGGTATGTGATAGGTCCTGGTGGCCTATCACAGCTCCTGGTGGCCTGAACGCTCCTCCAGAGATGCCCCCTGGGGTGTCCATCTGGCTGCCCACAGATGGCTATGAATGCAGCCAACACAAAACTAAATTTATGTAAAACGTTGAGATTTGTTTTCCTGTTTGTGTGTTCAGTGCGTGGCCCAGAGGCGGCCCAAGGCTGGGTGCCCGCTGCGGCAGTGACACACCTGGGCAAAGCCGACTCATCTCGTGTGAGTGGTGTGAGACTGGCCTCCTTTAATTCACTTATCTGAGCATTTATTGGGGATCTGCTGTGGCTCCGGCCAGGTGCTTCTGAACTGTGAGGACGTGTCACATGGGGGAGACAGAAGTGTCACTTCCCCAGGGCCAACAGTGAGGGCTTTGTCAGAGGGGACCCTTGAGGCGACCACAGATATAATGACCTGGAATTCAGAAGTGTGGGGGCGGTAAGGAACTGCATAGAGCACAGTGTGGGTGCAGCCACAGAGTCCTCAAAACCGACTCTCTTTCTCTCCAAAGCTGGGGGCACGGGAGCGCCCTTTTCCTGCGGGAGAGTGCTGTGCTGTGGCAAGGAGCCTTTTCCGGACGAGGTGGGAGTCGCCGGGCTCAGCCACGCGGACTGAAGTGAGCACAGTCCCCCCGGCAGCGCGGTGAGTGCCCACACTCGCCGTGTTCCCCCCACATCCGCCAGAGCCACCCCGTCCCCCCATCAGTATTACCTGGCATTTAGAATGTTGCTGAGTGAACAGGATCACTGAGTCTACTAGGTCTTGTTAAGAAAAGAGGCTGAAGGTTTTCGAAAAATACAGAATTTAATATTTACATATGGCACAGTGATGTCCAGGCTCCTAGCTGAAGAATTTTTTTTAGCTGCAGAGAACAAACCCTGGCCTGCACTGACATGACCCGAAGAAAATCACCCTGAGCTGGCTCTTCCCTGGCCTGCTCACGACACAGGCTGCGCAGCTCCCTCTGCGAACCCCCGCCCCGCAAACCCGAGCTGTTCCCCCACCTGCCCCCCGTCAGCAGAACGTTCTTCCCCTTTACTGTCCCCGAGTCCTGCCACAGCGGGACCCTCACCCAAGTCCAAGCGTCCGCGGGTGACAGCTGAGAGGCTGACCAGCCCGCGGGATGCATTCCTCCCCCACGTGGCTGTTGAAGGCACCAGGTGGTTTTAGGAGCAGCTCTGGCCGCTGGTTTAAGGCCTCCTGGTTACTCACTCCTCAGGTGTGACTGCGCCGGGCCCAGGGTCCTGGTGCGGGGGGGAGGCGGCTTGAGGCAGTTCCCGCCTCGCCCTCAAGGCAGGAAATAGCTAATGCGCTGGGCGATGGACTTGCACCCCTGCGAGGAAAAGCGCTGCTCCTCCTTGGGGACGTAGACCACCATCCCGGCGAGCTCATCCAGCATCTCCTCCGTGTGCGGGAGCCCCCGGCTCAGGAACGCGTCTCGAGCACACAGCCTCACGTGGCGGTACTCCAGCGGCAGGAAGGGGACAAAGAGGTCGATCAGGTTTTCCGTCACAAGGCGGCTGTGGCCAAAGCCACTGTCTGAAATGGAGACCAGAGTCATGCGGCTGCACCCCATGGCCTGGGCAAGGCTGTCTGGGGCGTTGGGACCTCTCTGCCGTTCTGGACTGCTCTTGGGGACAGCACGCCGAGGCCGAGGAGGGGGACGTGGTGCCAGGTCGAGGGTTTGGTTTGATGGCAGAAGGGGCAACGACACTACCTCCGACTGGAGGCCGAGCCCCGGGGTCCACAGGCCTCCCAGCCCCCACCTGCACCTGCAGGGCCGGGGCACACTCCTCTCTCTCAAAGCATTTTCAGAAAAGGAGTCCAGCTTTCTGGGTGTGTCCTGTGGTCCCGAGTCCCCTGTCCGCCTCCGAGGCTTCAGTGGGTTACCTGTGGACGCCGCCAGCTCGGCCTGGAGGCGGGACTCCAGGTGTGCCATGGTGATCTCCTCCCGGGGCTGTCCAGCCCGGAGCAGCTCCAGGACCACCTCGTTGACGGCGTCACCTCCGAGGTTGCTGAAAGAGACAGAGCTCGCTGACAGGTCACATTCTCATGTTCAGGTTTCAAACGGGTGAGCTGACGACCACGGAAGCCACCGCACTGCTGCCTGCAAGAACGGCCGTGAGGGCCTGAGCCTCGCCTCCCCCAGATCTTGTCACAACTCCAAGGTCTGTACGAAGAAGACACTGTCCTGCTGCGTCCCCCGTCCTCCCTGCTGCCTTGCTCCCTTTTGACAGGCACTTACTGAGACTCTGCTGGGTGCAGGGAACCCAGGGACGGGACTGTGAGCTGTGGTTCCCTCTGTTGACTTCCTGTGGAAGGAGGGTGTGTGTGTGTGTGTGTGTGTTTAGGATATCACAGCAAGTGCTTGTGTGGGACCAGCTAAGGCCCAGGGAGGAGGCTCCTGAGCAAATACGGAGTAGTGAACACAGACGTGCGGCAGGCACTCAGAGCTTGTGGGTTCAGAGGCTGGAGTGTGGACACGAAGGGTGGGTGGACTCGGGTTCACGGGCCCCAGAGAGCAGGTGTGAGACTCGGAAGGGTAGGGGTGGGGTGGTGACCTAGCTGGTTTTGCCCCCTGAGAACATCAGTCTGGGGCCCCAGAAGCGGGACTGAAGAGGCACAGGTGGTCACAGAGAGCTGGTTAGGGAGTGGTCCCTGCTGGAAGAGGACGCAGGCACAGGAGGTGATGGGGAAGGTTTTGGAAGCACGGTGGGCAGACTGACAGTCGTGGGAGTGGCAGGAGCGAGGCCCAGGAGCTGCCTACTGCCCCACCCCCAACAGCAGCCTCCGCAGAAGGTGGGAGCAGAGCTTGGATCTGCATGTGCCTAATGTTTCTTCAGGGGTTGTGACATCATTGGGCAACTGGAATTTTGGGTCTGCAGCACAGGAAAGAGGACCGGGTTGGAGAGATGAGGGAGAAAAGGGGTGAGAAGAAACCTTAGTGTGACCGAACAGCAGCTGGGAAGGAGGCACCGAGAGCCGGCAGAGCTGCTTCCTGGGCCGACCTCCCTCAGGCCCAGCAGAGGGAGGTGTGGGGACACAGGGTCTTCCGTCTCTCACCAAGCCCCGACTGGCTCTCGGGCCCATTAACTCAAGTGTTTGTCCACTTAGCAAGTGTGTGTGTCCTGGGGGCTGGGCACAGAGGGGAAGCTCAGTGGCTGTCTCCCTGCCTGGCAGGTAAGCGGGGATGGCCGAGTATGGAGCCAACTGATCCAGCACCCCCTTCCCCAGCTGGAGAGCCTGGCAGCAACAAGGGGCGTCCCTACCCCGTCTGTCGCTCGAGTTCAACCGCCCAGCTCAGCCAGACTTTCCCCAACACCTGCCCGCAGGGAAGCTGCTGCCTCCCCACCCCCAGGCCTGCCCGGGAGGTCATCTCTGCACGCAGCACCGGCCGCACTGCGCTTGCGTCAGCTGAGGTAAGACTTGCCCACAGATTGCTTCATCCTATTGCCCCCAGGGGCAAAGGCAGTTCCCACAGGCTGGAGGGTGGGCAGGCAAGCAGGGACAGCTCTGTACCTTTGTCCCCACTCGCCTCCTGAATTTCTCCTCATTTAGTCCCGCAGCCAACAGCTCTCTCCTCCTCCATGTCAGGGGCTGCAGCTCAGCCACCAAGACAGAAGCTGGGCCGCTTCTCTGCTCGCCCCCCACCCTCAGGGGCTGCCAGCCAGCACCGACCTTTAGACAGAGGTTGCCTTCCTGGAACACCTCAATCCCCTCCTCATCCTCCAGGGGCACCTGCTGACCATGGGGCCAGAAGTCGCCTCCAGAGACTAGGCCTCTCTCCTGGCTTTGGGATAAGACAACATGTCACCTCACCAGCCTGAAGGGACAGGGACGCAAATTAGTCTGGGAGTCTGTTTCCTCGCCTGTGAAACGAGAGCTGCACCAGACACTGTGAGACGCCCTGGGCGGTGACCGCACCTGCATTTCCAGGTGCGCTCTCTGGCTGGGCCCTGGGGGACCATCCTTTCCGCCTCCTCTCTTCCTGACAGCAGCCCAGGCGGACAGCCCTTCGTGTCCCCTCTCCACGCCACGGCCCAGGGGAAGAGAGGCCGTGCTGTGCTGTCCAGAGTGCCCCGCTCCTGCCCTGCAGCTTCCTGGCGCTTCCCCCACTCGGTGGGGGTCCGAGAAGTGGTCAGCGTTCGTTTTCTGGCCTAGAGGGAGGCCTGGGGCCTTCCAGCCCCACCTCACCAGCCAGCAGCAGGGGCAGCTCTTCAGGGTGAAACTGCTGTGACTTGCTCACACCTCAGTGGTCTGAGTCAGCTGTACTTTTCTCCCAAACATGCTCTCCACCCCACATTCTGGAAAGTGAGGCCAGAAACTTGCTGAAAAGGAAAAAAAACACAGGCCAAAAATGGGGCCATGGTGCCGCCACCCATGGCACTGAGCCTGGATGGTTCTGGCAGGTGCCAAGGAGGTCATCTGTCACGCAGGCCTTCTGTCCCCAGAGGAGCTGAGGGAAGGCCCCATTTTCCCAGAAACGATCCTTTTCCATGAACCTCCAAGCCCTTCCCGGTTTCTGCCCATAACAGTAGCCTTCCACCCTACACACAGCTGCTCACAGCTTGCTTCTTCACTAGACTAGGTGCTGCGTGACTCCTCAGTCACTCAATAAAGACCACTAGCTCTTCAAATGCATGTGACTGGATTTTTGTTCTCTAACAGATTCAGCACACTGTCTTCCCCAGCCACGGCCAAGTAACAACCTCCGCGGATTGGAGGCTGGGGTGGCTCTGGTGCCCCCCGGAGCCCCATCCTTGCATCCCTGTCCCAGGAGTGGTGCCCTCAGTGCGCAGAGTCTGGGTCACTGGGGGAAAGGGCAGTGCTGGAGGGAATGAGGGCACTGCTGGCAGTGTGGGTCGAGGCCAAAGCACCACAAAGGCAAACATTTGTCCAGAGAGAGCAGGGACACTGGGTCCCAGGACATCCTGGCAGCGGTGCTGAGAACTGGGCCCAGCCCAGGCGCAGGGAGGCTCAGCCTCAGCCAAGAGACATGGCCAGCTGAGGCGCACTCGGAGGGGAGAACTAGCCCCCAGCCAAGTCACTGCAGCAGGGGGAGCGCTCTGCCTCCAGGCTGCCCCAGAAGGGGGCCAGTCATCGCGGAAGATCCGGGCTGTTCTCTGAGAGCCACCCAGGGAGGGCCTCCCTGGCCTCTGCACGCCCCACAGTCAGCGACCCAGAGCTGCCCTTACAGACCAGGGAGTCCCTGCCACCAACGCACCGAAACCTCAACTGGCCACCACTTAAAACCGGCCCCACCTTGTCTTGTGGCTACAGAAGGAAACGGGCTCCTGCCCTTAACACTCGCCAGCCCTGGATGCAAAGCCAGACCCACCTGCACAGAGTGCGCCCTAAGCTGGGGAAAACCCCCAGCTTGCAGGTTCTGACCTGCAGAGGGGCAGGGGAGGGAGGGGCTGGTTTGCCTTCTGCTCTGAGTGCAAGAAACTGCTTGTGAAGCAGGGACTCGAGCTGACTGTAACAGACGGGGTGGGGGGGTGGTGGGAGCCAGGGTGCGCGGTTTGCTCAGTGCATTGTGCCCTGGGTGCCCAGTGTGGGGGCTCCTCACGATCAGAGACCCAGACCCTCCGGGGCTGGGGAGAGCGCACACCAGGCTGGCCGTGATGGGAGACAACCCGCCCACTGACTGGGCCCACGTTCAGGATTTTCGAGGGCAGTCTGTACTCGATTTTCAGCTCATTTGCTCACTTGAAAACTTAAAGCCCTTCTAAGAGGGGACTCCACGTGTGTGAGCTGCATTTCGGACAGTGCCACCGAGCTGGAGAAATCAGGACAGCCTGACACTGGCATGAAAACAGACGGAGATCAATGGAACAGAACAGGGGACCCAGAAATGGACCCATGCATATGTGGTCAATTCATATGTGACAAAGGAACCCAGAATGCACAGGCACAATCTCATCAATAAATAGCACTGGGGACCCTGATGGTCCCAGGCAGAGACATAGAACTAGAGCCCCGTCTTGCACCACACACGCGCACACGCACACACACACGGCTCAGACCGGACACGTGAATGGGAGACCTGCAGCCCGCAGCACTCCCAGCAGCAAACACGGGCAGTGAGCACCTCAATACCGATCTTGGCGACTGATTTCTTTAGAATCTGACACCAAAGACTAATACAACGAGCAAAAATAAACAAATGGGACCTCAACCTCAAAAAGCTTCTGTACAAAAGGAACCTTCAACAAAAGGAAAGGCAGCCTGCTGGATGGTAGAAAATACCTGCATAAGGGTTAATATCCTGACTAGAGAGGATTAGTAACCCGGTAACAAAGCAAAGAGAAAACCCCCTCAAACAACCCGGTTAAAACGTTTAAAACGCAGGTGGAGGATCTGTATAGATACTTTTCCAGAGAGGACACACCAGTGATCAACAGGTACGTGAAAAGACGCCCAACATCGCTCATCAGGGAAAAATGCAAATCGAAACTACGATGAGATTCCACCGCACCCCTGCTAGAACGGATGTCATTGAAAAGATCAATGCTGATGAGGATGTGGGCGGGGCGGGGGGGGCGCAAACTGCTGCTGCAGCCCCCACGGGAAATAGTGTGGAGGCTCCTCAAAAGATTAAAAACAGAACCATCACCCAATCCAGCAAGTCCACTTCTGCGTATCTATCCCGAGAAAATGAAAATGCCAACGTGAAAGAACACCTGCACCCCAGGCTCACGGCAGCGTTACGTATAACCGCCAAGACACCGAAACATCCCGTGTCCATCGACCGATGAGTGAATGAAGAAAACGTGTATAACAGTGAGATACTGTTCAGCCATAAGAAAACAATAAAATTCTGCCATTTGCAACAACATGGATTTCACACTAAGTGAAATAAGGCAGAAAAAGACAGACAATATATCGTTTCATAGGCTGAATCTAAAAAATCAAAATCCAAGTTCACAGATACAGAGACCAGCCTGGGGGTGGCCAGAGGTGACAGGTGGAGTCTAGGGGAGAAATAGTGAAGGGGGTCAAAGGGCTCAGATTTCCAGCCATAAAAAAGCAGCCCTGGGGGTGAACCCTTCAGCACGGTGACTAAATACTGAATCGCAGATCTGAACATTGCTGAGAGATCTGAAAAGTTCTCATCACAAGAAAAGTTCTGTAACTGTGTACGGCACCAAGTGCTAATAACTAGGCTTAGTACACATTCCGAGATTCAGACAGACCTCGGAGACGTCAGCCCTCGTCTCAGACCGGCGTGACAGTGGGCCACGTCCACAGTTGGATCCCTTCCTTGACAAAGTCAGGAGGGGAGGCCCAAGACTTCAAAGAAGCATTTTCCAACCTGGTGGACGTGGCATGGAGGGCCCTGCTATACCCATTGTGATTGTTCTTGCTTTGGGGATTTTGACCTCTTCCGCCCTGATTATTTTGAATACCACTGCTGTGATCCAAATAGCACAAGCAGATCTTTCCCTGTTCACTGAACAAAGTAATAATATTTCAGAAAGTACATCTACCCTGTTCACTAAACAAAGTAATAATAGTTTAGAAAGTACATTGAGTGATGTGACTCCAGATGACTTAGAGAGTTCTTGGAACAAAGAAAGTAACCACAGTAACACACCAGAAGAAATCAGGAAACAAAATATGAGTATTGGAGAATTAATAGAAAAGTTAGAAAAGATCACCCTTGAAAGCCCCCTACTATGACAGGATAGCCCCATGAGACAAAGGATTCTCCCGAAACCTACAAAAACACCGAGAAAAATCCCACCTACTATTAAAACTCCATGGGGACCTGCTTATTTTATTAAGGCCAGACCTTGGTATCCCCCTAAGGGACAGCGAAGTCTCCAGCCTGTCCCAACGCCACCTAATCCTACACTTCCTTATTATAGAGTCTGGGATGAGGACGGAGTTAAATGGGTTTCTAAAAACAATAAAAATATAACGGCAACCTGACTTCCGCCAAGATGGAGGCATAGGTGGATATCCGTGCCTTCTCACACAACCAAGTTTAGAGAAAACTAAATATTAGCAACAGAAAACACAGCCAGAACACAGAAAATTGAACTTTTCGGAAGTCTGTTAACAACAAATTCTTCAGCCTGACCGGTAAGGGGCAAAACCAGCAGCTGGTGGAGCAGGGTTGCACAGGAAAACTCGGCCAGACGGACTCAAGCGCGCAGAATCCAGGCCCAGGGTTGGACCTAGTGAGCCACCGAGCGAGCGACCAAGCCAGCAACGGCGGGGGAAACAGAAAGAGCGAGGGAGCAGGGCTGCGGGTTGACTGTGGTCTCGCATTGGTGCGCAGATAGAAAAGCGAGGGAGTGGGCGATTGGACTGGAACCCAGCAGGTCCCCAAGGCAAGCTGCAGGGAGGGCGCCGCCATTTCCCCGCTCTGACCCCACCTCCACCTACGGCGTCATAACCCGGCGACTCTGAGTGGCCTGGCCCAGGTGAACCACCTAAGACGCTAATCCTCACCCAGCTGTGAGAAACAGCAGAGGGGGCCCCATTTACCCGCTCTGACCACGCCCCCACATACAGTGTCACAACCCAGCGACCTGGGAGTCCAAGGCTCGCTCCTCAGACTTAAAGGGCGTGAACAGACCAAAAATGGCTCAAGAAGATCTCAAAGCCCCAGAGCCTATAAATCTAAGCGATGAAGAAATAGCAAAACTCTCAGATGCACAGTTTAAAACACTGGTGATCAGGATCCTCATAGAACTGGTTGATTATAGCCACAAATTAGACAAATATATGAAGGCGAAACTAATTGAAATGAATGGAATTGCACAGGAAACCAATAGCAATGAAAAGGAAACTGGGACTCAAATCAATGGAGTGGACCAGAAGAAAGCAAATAATGGCCAAACAGAAAAGAGTCAAGAAGCAAGAATTCAAAGAAATGAGGAGAGGCTTAAGAACCTCCAGGACATCTTGAAACGCTCCAACATCCGAATTATAGGGGGAAAGGCACAGCCACCAGTGGAAACCTTATTTGAACAAATAATAAAGGAGAATTTCCCCAATCTGGCAAAGGAAATAGACTTCCAAGAAATCCAGGAAGTTCAGAGAGTACCAAAGAAGTTGGACCCAAGAAGGAACACACCAAGGCACATCGTAATTACATTAGCCAAGATTAAAATGAAGGAGAGAATCCTAGAAGCAGCAAGAGCTAAGGGGACAATCACCTACAAAGGAGTCCCCATCAGACTGTCAGCTGATTTCTCAAAAGAGACCTTCCAGGCAAGAAGGGGCTGGAAAGAGGTATTCCAAGTCATGAAATCCAAAGACCTACAACCAAGATTGCTCTATCCAGCAAAACTTTCATTTAGAATGGAAGGGCAGATAAAGTGCTTCTCAGATAAGACCAAATTCAAGGAGTTCATCATCACCAAGCCCTTATTATATGAAATGTTAAAGGGACTTATCTAAGAAAAAGAAGATAAAGAAACATGAACAGTGAAAGGACAACAAACTCAAGTTATTAACAACCACACCTAAAACGAAAGCAAACTAAAAGGACAGCTAGATCAGGAGTGGAAACATAGAAATGAAGATCTCAAGGAGGGTTAGCAACAGGGGAGTGGGAGGAGGAGAAGGGGGGAGAAGGTACAGAAAATAAGTAGCATAGACAGTAGATAGAAAATAGATGGGGGGGGCAAGAATAGTAGGGGAAATACAGAATCTAAAGAACTTGAGACACATGGACATAAACTAAAGGGGGGGTAATGGTGGGGACGGGGGGTAGGGTAGAGGGGAATGAAGGGGGGGAATAGAACAACTGTAACAGCATAATCATTAAAAATATATATATATAACGGCAAGAAGCCTACCCTTCTTAGAGAGACTTGCAAGTGATAGCACACCACAAAAATGCATGACAGCACAAAGAAAACTAGAAGTTAGAAAAAGCCTCAGAAGATATTTTTCCGGGCCATGTTACCTTACATACTGGCCCGAGAAGAGAGAACAAATAGTAAAAGAAATAAAAGAATTAGAACCCCTAGCAAAAGAGGAAATAAGGAAGGGCATAGACAAGTACACAGGTCAACCAGGAGGGCATGTTTACCCCCCGAGTCAATTTTAGACATACCTAATACGCAGGATAAGAATAGGCCCCCTGCGACAGCCTAACCGAGGCAGACAGCCAAGTTCCTGTTCAGACCAAGAAGCATGGCAACAGTAACTGCAAAAGCCAACGAACCCGAAATCGCTTGCCAACTAGAATAGTACAAAAGCTTCAGCCTTACTTTCAATAAAGGTCTTCAGAGCATCACCTGCCTTGAGCTGCTTGGTTGCCTGATTTCCGCGCCAACTCCTACCTTCACCTCGAGGGGACCCTTAGACCTGCTGCGGCCGGACCGCGGCAACAGTGGGCCATAACCTCTTCGCTAGTGGGGAGTCTTGCCTTCAATCTGTAGAACACCCAACACCTGTGGTGCAGCACAAGGCAGCAGAGGCGGTGAACGAGGCACGCCTGTGCACACAAACAACCAACCGTGCTGTGCACCTGAAGTTATTAACGTGTTACTGCAAGTCCATTGTACCTCGATTTGAGGAACAACAACAAAAGCCACAACCCCACTGCCCTTCTAAGGGGAGTTCCTGGGGGAGCAGCCCTGGCTAAGAGGCTGCACGTGGACTGGGGCTCTGAGGGGAGGGCCCCAGCCACGCGCCTCAGCCACGGGGAGGCTAGATGAGGGGCAGCTGTTCTTCCCCTGGCTGGGCCTCGGAGGTAGTTAGCAGGCTGTGCCACAGGTGTGGGGGGTGATCACAGTCCTTCACGAGTGCCCTGGGGGGAGAATCAAGCCCCCCCTACCCCTGCTCCACCCAAAGCAGCACAGTTTGCGTGTTCCCTGCAGAAGCTGCTGTTGGTTTCCCTTGTGGCAAAGGGCCCCCCCCAGGAGGCCGTGGAAGCTGTATCCCGCCTGCGGCGACAGCCCCCCCCCTCGCCCAGCCCTCCCGTTTTTTCCTCAGACCTCACCAGAGAAAAAGGAAGATGGTTCTCGAGGACTCGGCCCCGCGGTTCTCAGGGGCCCCGTGGTTCTCAGGGGTCCAGCGTTCCAGGTGCGACCCGAGGGCCTCCAGCAGTGCTGGGTGCAGCTTCTCGGCCTCGTCAAACACGAACAGGGTCTGGCGGCAGCGCTCCTGCGTCTCCCTCACTTGCTGCAGCAGCTGCTCCTGCTCGGGACACAGGGAGCTGCTGGGGAGCCCTGGGAGGCACAGGGCCCGCGCCCCCAGCCAGCAGGGCCCTGGTGAGGCGCCCGGGTGCCTTGCCTGGGGGTGGGGCCTGGGGTGGGGCCTGGGGGCGGGGCCAGGGCAGCTGCCCCTAGCTCGCTCCCCATGTGATTCTCCTGCAGCCAGAGGTTTGAAAGCCAATGAGGTGGAGCCAGCCCGGGAGCAGGAGAGGGCCTGTTCTGGCCCCTCCAGGATGAGGTCCCAGAACTGGTGGCTAGTGCCCCCTCCCCCGGGGGAAGGGGCCAGGCTCTAATAAGAGGGAATAGGTAGAGTCGGGCTCACGTTCCCAGAGGTGCCCACAGTTCCTTCTTGAACTTCTAGGAGCGGAGCACCCACTGGGCCAAGAACTTGGGGAGAAGCTGTCTGGGACCAGCCACCTTGGGACTGGGGTTCCCCATGCAGGCAAGAGAGCCCTCAGCTGAAGAGATGCTGCCCTTCAGGGTTCAGCAGCACAGGGCCGGCCCCGCCCCAGGGTGGGGTGGTCTCCACAGAGCCACGCTCCCTGTCCAGCTGCAGCCCTGTCGCCTGGCGCGTGGGTGAGAGGATGCGCAGGGTGAGCATGTGCCTGGCGTCTTCCACGGTGGGGATGTGGAGGCCCAGTTTTGCCGCAGTCAAAGCCAGCTGGGTCTTGCTGGGAAGGCCCGGCTGACCAGCTGCCTGCCCTTAGGGCAGTTCACCCGACCACTGCTGGCCAGGGCCACCCGGAAACCGCCAGGTGACTCAGGCAGTCTGTCGCAGATGCTTACTAATCACCCTCGGCTGTCCCTCTCTGAATGCTGGGACTGAAAGCCAGACAGGACACAGTCACCTCTGTCAGGCTGCAGGGGGATGGTCATTGTCCAGCTTCCTTTAAGTACCACATCTCAATGGGAAAGACCCCAACTAGCAGAGCCTCAAAGCCGGTTGTGACTGTCCAATCGTTGGCCTATAATGAGCACCACTTACGGCAGGCCTTTTTCAAAGAAATGGGACACGCAACTTCTGTCCCATATAATTACACACAACAGCTCGGGGAGAGGTCTGCAGGAAGAACGCAGGAATGCCACCGGCTTCTCCCCATGTGGGGACATTATGATGGGGTCTTGGCTTCCTTCTGCCCCACACTCCCTGTGACCCTCCCACCACTGCTGTCACAGGAAACGACACACGGCCTCTCTGTGCAAGCTCAGCGTCCGGCCTGCCGTGCTCGGGTGGCCAAAGGCCGGTGCGTGGGGACAAGTGGTGTTCAGAACACGCCTTTCCCCCATGTGATCCCGGCCGCCTCTGTGTGGGGTGGACGTCCCTGTGGGCTCCAGGTCCTGCTGGAGGGCCCCGCGCCCAGCCCTCCACCCGGCACGGAGGTGCGCCCTGGCCTGGCCTGGCACTGTGCGCCTCACCTTGTACAGACCCGCCAGACGTGGGTGAGGGAAGTGGAGCATGGTGGTGAGCACCTGCACACAGTCGCTCCTCAGCCCGTCCCGGTACAGGTTCTCCGCCAGCATCTGGGCCACGAAGTTCTTGCCCGTGCCAGACCAGCCGTGGAACGACAGAGCCAGGGCCTTGTCTGGCTGGGGCAGCGCCAAGTACTCCCTCACCGCGGCCAGGACCAGCTCCCGGGCCAGATGCTGGCCGTGCAGCCGCACGCTCAGGTCCGACTGCAGGCCTGTGGGTGGGGGAGAGGCGGCCACAGTGAGAGCGGAGCACGGCCCAGGGAGGAACGGCGGGGAGGGGAGCCCCTGAACGTCACTGAAGTGAGTGGCCTGTGGGCAGACCTGTCAGCAGGAGGGCCGTTTTCTGCAGAGCTTGAGAAATCCCTGATTCCTCAGGGAGAATGAGTCGCCCGCTCTGAAGGTCCGGAACCTTGCAGAGCAGCTGGCAGAGTCCGGATTGGAGGAGGGAGTCTGCCCCCCATGCCCACGAGGCTGCTCCCACCTGGAAGTTTCAGGACTCCCACAAATACTTCATGGATGTGCCCTCACTTTTTTCATTTTAATTTAATTCAGCGAACACCTGCTGAGGACAGCTAGCATGGGCCCTAACTCCCGCACAGCCACGGAGCTGCGGGGTTTGTGGGGCGTGTGCTGCCCCCTGCAGGCAGGACGATGGAAGGTCCTGCACCCCAGCCATTCCCCGCCCCCCCCAGTCCCCCTCCCCCACGGGTCTCTGGCCCCTGAGGGCGTGCAAGTCCCAACCTGTGAGGTTGTTGGAGATCCTGCAGTCCCCGCCGGCGCAGCAATCCTGGAAGCTGCAGTACCACGTGGTCAGGATGTCCAGGTACTGCTGGCCCAGAAGAGGAAGGCTCCAGGCTGGAGAGGGAGACGCGGTGAGGCAGGGACAGAGCCTGGGGCCGAGAGGAAGCCCGGCCCCCGGCCCCCAGCGGTTCTTCCGGTTCTTGCAGGCCTCTGGCCTCCTCCCTGCAGGGTCACTCCTCTCTGTTCCTCCCGGTGCCTCCCTTGAGTCAGGGAATGGGCACGAGTGGACGCCACTGGCTTCACGGAAGCAGATGGCTTTGCTACTGGTGCAGCTGCAGCAAAGGCTCGGTTTACTGGACAAACGTATCTCGGGCGCCGTGTAGCAGGGCCAGCAGCCCACCCCTGCCTGCGAGCAGTTTGCAGTCTAGTCCGGTGACCGCGGGTAGCCGCTCGTCCTGCACCTCTGGATTCCAAAACCAGCTCATCACAGCTGGGCCCAAAGGCCTCTCAATTCTTTTGTCAAATGCCAGTTTGAATATACCGAGTTCTTTGAATATGCCGAAAACAAGACGACACACAAACCAATGGCTGGAAGTTGGAAATCTTTCGGTGTAAACGAGACCCCGTTACAGAATCGCCATCGCATGCTATTCCTGGGTCTCGAATCGTGGGCACAGACCACAAACCCGAGATCATCTGGTCCACGACAGCGACGGGGCTGCCCTGCCGCGCAATTTGTCAGTGACGAGCGGGAACCAGAACTCAGGTCTGCGACTCCCGGCCCGGGCTCTGGCTCCTTCAGCAACAGAGGAGACAAAGGGACTCGGGGCGGGGGGTGTCCAATGGGGACCTAAGCCCTCGAGCTGTGAGCTGTGTGGAGGGGTCGGGATCGGGCCGCGAAGGGGGCCGCCAGGCCGGTCCTCCGAAGGAGCCGCCAAGGCGCTGGCTTCGGGGAGGGGCGTCCGGGGCGACAGCCCGGGGCAGGAGAGGGCCTCGCGGCTGCGTTTACGGGGAGGGGGTCTTACCCAGGGGGGGCTTCCCGTCCTGCCCGCAGGTCTCGGGCCACATGCGGCAGCTGAAGAGCGCCCAGTACCGCCTGGAGAGGGCCACGGCCGCCCTCAGCTGCTCCTGCAAGTCCTGGAAGGCGGGCCAGGCCCTCCCGGAGCCCGGCTCCTCGGCCGCCTCCCCGGGCCCGGCGGGGCTGCGGGGCCCCCGCGTCCCCGCGAGCGGCGGCGGCAGCAGCAGCAGCAGCAGCAGGACCCAGGGCCAGAGGGGGCGCCGCGGGTCAGGAGGCATAGCCGGCCAGCTGCCGCTTCTGGGGCCGCGACCGGCCTCCCCGGGGCTTAAATACCCGGGATTGGCGTTGCCACGGGAACACCAGCCTCACGTGACCCAGGGCGAGGCGACCGAAACCGGGCTGGGCCGGGCCCCGGAGGCCGTGCCTATTCTGGGCGGACGGCGGGTGCGAAGGTGAAGCCCTGAGGTCGGGCCGTGAAGGCCGCTGGCATCGCCCTGCTGTTAGTTCGGGCGGCCCCGTCTGAGGCACCGCTGTGGGCGGGCCGCGGGCAGCTGCCGGAGGCGGGCAGGAGGGGCACGGGCCGGAGTCCCACCCGGGGAACTGGAACCCGGCTGCTGCGCCGGCAGGTGCCCAGGCTGGGAGTCGGGACGAAGGCAACAGGAAGCTGTGGGCCCCGCCGGCTGGGGCCACGTGGGCTTTGGAAACTCTCAGTCACGGGAGAATCACACGGTCTGGAGTCGGTGTAACCCTGTCTCGTTAAAAAGAAGTGCCATGTCACTTCCGTGGCTGTGTTTGCGATGTGTAGGTGCTGGTGAGCACGAGTGCGAAGTGGGGAGAACCTCCAGCCAGCGGGCTGGGGAAGCCGAGACAAGAAACTGAACTGAACGAGACCAGACACTTGGAACAACCGACAACCAACCGGCGAATCGCAAGACCGATCTTCCCCACCGAGGACACTCGAGAGCAAACGGTTCACACTTCTCCTCCCTGACCAGAGAATACACGGCTTAACTCTCCCCGGTCTGGGACACAGAGGACAGAGACCCAGCGAATGTCATTTGTGCCAGCTAAACCCAAGGACAGATGAAGCCAGGAACAAGTAACAAAATCCCATTAGAGCTAGACAGACCCGAGGTAATAAAAGTAACAACACAGCAGGCTGAAGAATAACACCCCCCCTCCCCCAACGCACTGGTTCTGGCACATCGGCGTACTCCAGATGCCCCGGAAAACATGAATATTCTGCTGAAACCCTCCCCCGACATTCCCGCCTGCCGGGGAGACACAAAAACATCAGGACAAAGGACCCAGAGGGCGAGTGCTGTCCTGCTGGGGAGCAGCCTGAGCCGTTTCCTTTTCTGACTTCTACCCCTACTCCTTTCTTCACAAAGCATGTGTCTCCTAAACTCCAAGGCAGCTGGAGGCTGGTCCCGTGCTGACCCCGAACCGGTCCCCAGGCTCCCTTTTCTCTGACCTCCCAGTGAGTGAAGGCAGCCCACCCGGGCTCTCCTGTTACTGCTTCCATGCCAAGCCCCCCCCCCCGCCTTGTTCCGCTGTCGCTGCTTTAATACACACATGGAGTCATGTTGTGAGATCTTTCCCACTCAAAGCGGAGAACACCCACGCTGCAGTGGGCCCTGGGCAGCCCCTCTCTGAGCCAGGCGCCCCCACCCAGTGACAGCGCCACTGGCGGAGGACCGAGGGCCTCTCCTCCGGCTCCCTCCCGCTCAACTGGCACCCGCGGCCAGGTTTCAGCAGAGCTTAGTGCAGCCGCTGGCCAAAGAGCCACCTTGTCCTGGCAAGAGGCTGCTGTCCCTATACAGTGCATGGGACTCAGCTGTTGCCACAGGCTCTGTGGCTGAGGGTGGGCTCTCTGGACAGTACAGGGCACCCTAGCGCACGGCCACGGAGCGAACCGACTCGCCGCTCATGCCAGTCTCTGCTCTGCCCTCAGCAGCTCCCCAGACCTGCTGCTTTCCCAGCCTTGGAACCAGAGAAGCACCTTGGCTGAAGTACTGCTACCTCAGGGCAGTGTATGGCTCAGCCCCGCAGGGCAGGTCACACTCGAACCCAAACCTTCCAGAGAGCAGCGGTGGGCCCTGTGGACCGTGTTAAGTGAGGTCAAGCTCAGGAAACCGTCAGGGCACAGTTACCAAGGAAACCGAAACCTTTAACCCACACTGTGACTCAGCGACTCAGCACTGTTCTAGCAGGAAGCGCCATCTACCACGGGGCTAACTGAGCAGCCCGACCATTTTCTCTGTGGCCGTGGGGGTTAGTTACCTGCCCTGTGCCTCAGTTTCCCCACTTGTAAAATGGGGGTAATGTCAAAGTGTCACTTTGCGGGGATGGTGTAAGGGCTGGCGGCTACTTCAGTTACATGGAAACATTTTTTTACTGTGTGTGCCTTGCCCTGGGGGAGGCTCCAGATGGTGCACACAGGAAGCCTGAAGGGTTTTATTTACACGAGTGAGGCTTGGAGGTAAATTTGTGGCGAGAAAATTACTAGAATTAACACTAGCTTCTTTTAAAAATTCAAAATTTAAAACGGTGGAAATAACTCTCTCTTTCCTGTTGTAGAGCTCACTGCTAATTTCTGAGCTGTTCTGGATTAGTTCAGCATTTCATGGTGGACAGAGTAGGTCGCTGGAAAATTCTTGGACAAGCAACTTGATTTCAAGAAGACATTCCCGTTTCTGAAAACGGCAGAATTGACCATTCGTCTCAGCAGCGAGCCCCACACAGAAACAATGACTCCAGACATGAGCTGTAGACCGGCCTCTGGCCTCAGAAAACGGCCAACACTTCCTGGCCAGGGCTCCGGGGCTGCCGGCCAGCTCTCGGAGCCCATCGCTGGGATGCTGGGGACACCTGGAGGCGCTGGCGGGAACTACAGGCAGCTGACTCCTCAGCGAGCAGCACACCCAGAGCCTCAGCCTCAAAATCGGCTCGACTTGAACAGTCAGCTTTCTAAGAGAAAATGGGCACCCGACACCTCCACTGTCATCCGAGGGGGACTTACCTTTGCAGTAGACATTCTCCCCGCCCTGTGGAGGCACTCGGCAAATGCCGCCGGCCTCCAAATCAACCTCTGAGTAAAAGTCAAGTCTGTCTGTCTCCTAACAGACTTTGACATGCAAAAAGCAAACTCTGCAAACACAAAATGAGAGCTTCACAGCTTGTCCGCACGCCAGTGGTCCCTGTTTAGCATCTGTGCTGCAGGCCACCGAGGCATCACAGTGGCCTGAGACTGTCCTCTTAAAAGACAGGGCACACACCAACCAAAACCACAGTGAACCCCTGAAGGGACATCTCTGGTGACCTAGGAACTGACAACAGCGCACAGGCTGGGAGGCTCCGCGTCTCTGGAGCCCAGGCTTCTGCACACACCACACGTCAAACCTGGATGGAGCTCTTCCGCACTGTGGGCCCTCCTGCCTCTCCCCCGCACCCGCCTTCTCCCCTGCTCTTTCCTCCCTTGTAACCCCCACCTACGTACTTGCTGAGGCACTTGGGACTTCACACGCAGCTTTCTTCTGCTGGGACTAGAGGCTCTTTGAGGAAAGGGACAGTCATTGCCATCGCAGTGGCATCCATAGCTCACAGCACGATGCCCCGATGTCTACCGAAGAAAGATCAAATCTTTTACAAACCTTCACTGACTCCGGCCACTCCCTGGGGTTTATACTGTGACCCACCCACTGCACAAAGCCCGGCCCTGCTGAGCAGGGGGCTGAGACCATTCTGGTCTCTTACAAAATGAGCACTGCCAGAAAGGGTCTTCACAGGCAAATACACCGGGGAAAAGTAGCCCGTAGTGGAGTTACACCCTCCCTCCTCCCGGCTGCCTTTTGCAGCTGTCCTACGAGGCCCAAAATGTCTCCTGGAAAAGGGCCAGAGGAGACTCGTCTGAGGCTCTGCACCCCCCCACCCCTCCACCCCCTGTGTTCAAGTACAAAACTGGGTGCCAATGAAAACGCTGGGAATCCAGTAAAAAGTCTTTGTTCGGGACTCTGCTCCGTTGTCTTGTTGAGATCGACGAGGCTGGATTTCAACTTCGGAAGTTGACAATCTCACCGCCCTGAGAATTACACCCGGGACGCCTGGTCTCTCCTGTGCCTGCGCGGCGCTGCCCTGGCCAGCTCCCCAGGCTGCCTCGTTCTTTACCTCTACAGAAGCTGCGAGGACTGAGCGCACTAGTAAATATCTGGAAGGCACCCGAGTCACCCCGTGGGATGTTCTGACTGAGCTGCAACCTGCTGCGGGCCTTCGGAAGCCTGCTGTGGGGGCCAAAGGTCTGACCCACCAGCTCCTGTGAAAGTACAAGATGTGACCTTCTGTCCCCTAATAAAACAGAAAATCAGAGTAGATGACACAAACTGTCCCGAAAGGGAGGGTGGCGGTGGTGGGAGGACACGAGGAAAACACGATACCTCAATACTTAAAATCTTTATTCGTTTTTTCCCCAGAATTGGAACCCAGAGCACGTTGGAGACTTGGGTGCACGCCCATCTCCCTGGGTGACGTACAAGCATAATCTCTGTGCAACGGCTCGGAGAGGAGATCCCGGCAGACTGGAACAGACGGGGCAGGTCTGACGCTTCCCATTTCAGCAAATAAACTAGCTCCCCACTCTACTATTCCCAGTTCCCAACACCCGGTACCTGCAACCCCTTAGTTCCCTACAACCTGTGGCAGTAGTCCCCAGCCCGCAGCACTTCGACCCAGACTTGAGGAATCAGGGTGAGAACTGGCCTTCCCTGCATCAGACGGTGCGTGAAGTTGGGCCTCTCGGCTCGTCCGAGGGCAAGTGCCTGGCGGGGCAAGCTCCCCGGGGCTGCTCGGGGCTGCGGGCTTTGCTGACCAGATGGGCTCTGGGCCCTCGGGGTTGGGGTCCGGCTCAGAACCTGAGAGGAGGGCCTTTCACTGGCTTCGAGTTCTTCGGCAACGTAAATCAGTGTTTCCTGTGTCAAAATAAATACGTTTCTTCTTGCTAGAATACATCTATGACTATATACACACATACACCTTTACTCGCGTTTCCTGAAGCTCAGGCTCACAGGACGGCCTGCAGGAGAGAGCTCACCATCACTGAGGTTTGGTTTTCTCGTCAGACGTGAACATACCGAGACCACGGCGAGCGGGGCTGGAGGAGTGTGGCGGATGGGAAGGGGGGGCTGAAAGCCTTTTTTCTCTTCTCTTAAAGAGATAAGATGGATTTCTTTGGAGGAACGTGTTGCCATCAGGTAACAATGAAAAGCTGCCACGTATAGGATTCATCTTTCCCAAAATAATATGCAGTAGATGCACCCCAATTCTCTCACCTCCTCCTCCGTCCTCACTCGGCACGCTGACCCCGGTGCCGACGGGGGACTTGCCTTGTGACACATCACTGAACGACAGGGTCCCGTCTACTAGTTTGTTTTGCACAGATTGTTACTTATGTCCAAACCCACCATATAGACTCCTGTTAAAGAGCAGTTTTGGAATGAAACCTCTCCCCTCGCAGTTTCCCCTCTCAAACTCAGGCATAAACATATTTGAAAAGCAGGAAGACAAAAGGACTCTGACCCTCCTGGCTCCGTAACATTAAAATGTATCTGCGCCCACCTGCAGAGGCTGCTAAGCGCACCCTGCTTCGGGCCCAAAACCCTTCCACTGACCTGACTGTAATGGTGCGAGACTCTAATAAATCAACCGGAAGAAGAAGAGTTAGAGAACTTTTGGAAAGATATCTACCTGTTTTTTCCATCAAAACATAGTGTTTGTAAATTTCATGGCTTGATGTTTATGGCTGGTTTTCTTCCAGATTCACCGAAACATACTTTTCTTGCTTAATCTGATCCTGACTTTGAATATAAACTCATATTCTCAATGTCATTTGGAAAACCCTAACTTTAACCACTACAGATCGGAACTCCTTTGAAGAGCAAGAATTTTTAAACAGCAGGGAAAGAGAATGAAGTTACTCATTTTCGGCAATGTTTTGAAGGAGGAGGCCTCTTCAGACCAGCTCTCCCTCCTGCTCTTTCCCTCTGCGGACGTCCTGCCTTGGACATCAGCAACGAGGCGCCCAGGCTGAGACCGGCTCTGACCCCCTCCAGCGCGGCAAACTGAAACAGGCCCCGTGCCGGGAGAACGCTGACCGGTACCTGGTTCAGCCAACATCACCACGGGGAGAGCGAGCCGGCGGCACCCTCTCCAGGGAGCCCCGCCCCTGCTCTGCGGGGGATTCTGGGCACAGGCCTTACAGCGGGAACCGAGGCCTCCTTTTGCTGACCCTAGTTCAGTGCTTTGTGCTGATTTGTCTTCATAAATTCAAAACCTTTCCCGATGACTCAGCCCACACTCGTGTACATCTCAAAATGTACATACAAAGTACAAAAGTGTCCTAATCTCACGTTTTTTTTTGAAGTAGTCACAGGACGTGCAGTTACCACTCAATGCCAAACGGCCTTTCAAAGGGTGGCTGACCAGGCCTGGCCTGCCTCCGGGGCTGGCACCGCGTATTCAACCACGACACCCAACACGGGTCCCTGCCCGGCAGATGCACAGAACCGGAGCAGCGCCCGACACCACGAGGGACGAGGACACGTGCGGGGGGCCACGCCAGGCCTGCCGTCCCCGTGTCTGACTGCTTATGACCGCTTACTCGTCACAGCCTCTTTGCCGGAACCCAGAACTAAGCCTGAGTTTTTGCAACCTGAAATTTGAGAGCGCTAACAACAGACGAAAGAACATGGGTTCAAAACTCCAAACAAGCCGAGATGATGAACTAGGGTTTGACATAAATCAAAATCTTAAGGCTCTTCCTGGCACAACCCCCTCGTTTTAAGGCTCGGAAGGCTTCACTCCCTATTTCCAGCTGCCCACATGGCTCGAGCCCTAAGACAGGCCCGGACGCAGGGGGACACACACCACCGTCGGTCAGAGGGAGCCGGCTCTCTCCCCAGAAGGCACGGTCCGGACGGCCGCTCTCTGGGGAAGAGCAGCTTCGCAGGCCTTAGCAGCAGAGGTGGAAACCATCTCGGACGAGAAACCAGGACGGCCAAGATCACGGGCACGCTAACCCCCACTCAAGACATTGTCTGCTTCGTTAACTCGGAAGGGGTCTCTCTCCTCTAGGCAAAAGGGAAAAACTAAGTCTCCATAAGAGAATAATAGTGCTTGGGTTGTAACAATAAGTTCTCTGGAGACAACTTTTTGGTTAATTTAAACACAACTGTGAAAATGCAGACCTTGCTTAGGTAGGAGTCGCGTTAGCTTTTACACACCTTAAGGACCGGAACACAGGGGAACCTGCTGTCACTAACTCGGCCACCCCCTGGTGCCAGTCTGCCTTCTCTCGCCCCTCTCCCTGCCTCTATGCACCCTCAGAAGCACGACCACCTAATCGCTGAACAGCCCAAACAGGTTCTGCTCTCCCCGCTCCCTCTGTCCCAGATGCCACCCCCCCAGCCTGCTCCTCCGGCTCCACGCAGTGCCAGGCTCATTTGCTGCCGCTCCTGTGGACGCAGTGAAATTCCCAGTGTCACTAGTCCTGGTAAAAAAGGACTTGAGAGTCTGCAAAGTATTCTCGGGAAATCCACAGGTGCGGCGAAAGGACTCTAAGGATAACTCAAAATACACCCTCCAGAACCGATCCGGCATCGACCTGTGCCGACGTCACTCCTGCCTGTCCTCCGGCAGGAGAAGGTAAGCCTGACCAGCCGCGACCCGCTGCCAGAGTGGGCGAGTGCGGGGAGGTCCGGTGATTCCGCAGGGACGTTTCCGTGGCCTGAAGCTTACGGTCCTTCTTTAGCTTCTGTGACGGAAAACACCAAAGAAATGCAAGGCCACCCTGTTCCCTATCTCCAGGACCTGCTGCCGGCCACCTCCAATGCACCTTTGGAATTGATTGTGCTGTTTCTCTATCTTCGTGAAAAGAAGTGTCAGTTACTCTGCGTGGTGAGTTACAAGTGGGAGAGAGGCATCCTGTCCTCCACCAGCACGGTGTCCGTCCCAAACTGGTCAGTGCACTGCTTCACGGTGGCCAGGACGCTCAGGAGCCGCTGCTCCACGGCGTCCAGGTGAGGCTCGGAGAGCACGGGGGAGATGGGGTCGTGGGCCATGGCGGATTTTAAGGCAGACTTCAGTACGCCGTTCTTCAGGTAGTTCAGTCTGTTCCAGGTGGACACTCGAATGCTGGAAGAGAAAGTTTTGGGGCGCGTTACATAAAGCCTCTCACTATCGAATGGGTTTACAGCCCACTTGGCACATAGAAGAGAGACAGTTACATAGCCCTGGCTGGCACGGCTCAGTTGGTTGGGTGTCTTCCCTAAAAGCAAAAGGCTGCTGGTTCGATTCCCAGGCAGGGCACATGCCAGGGCTGTGGCCCTGGTCGCTGGTCGGGGCACATACGAGAGGAAGCTGATCCACGTCTCTCTCTCTCTCTCTCTCTCAGATCAGTGTTTCTCTCCCTCTCTTCTTCCCTACCGTCCCCTTCTCTCTAAATAAATAAAACCTTAAAAAGAAAGAATTATATAAAATACCTCAACTGAAAAACCATTATGAGTAAGTCACACGATCACTTTCTGGTACTTTTTCTAGGTAATCGATGAGAAGTAATACAAAGATTTACACCTGTTCATTCATAACAGGAAAAACGTGAACTGATCTGACTGGCCAACCACTGGGAGTTCACGGCTCATCCAGTCGCGGGAACACGGCGCAGACAGTAAAAGCAGCACGGACAGTGCAGTGGCGGCATGGGGACACGCCCAGGACAGGTACTGGGCGTGGGTGGACACCCGTGAGTGAAAACTGTCTCGCTCGAACTCTGTGGGGAAAGACGTGTGTACACACAAGTACGCGCGCGCACACACACACGCACACGCACACTCCGTCAGAAGTCACTACACTCCTGACAGAAACTGTCCTCACGTCTCAGTGGGGAACTTCCATTTCCTTCTGTTCGTGTTTCTGAATTTTAGAAAGGTTCTGCCCTTCACATTATGAGTGCTAGGTTTACTGTGGAGGACGCCTATTTTCCGTAATTATTTCGCCCACTGAACAGGCCCTTCTGTTCATCTCAGAAGAAAGCGCCCCCCTCCCTGGGGTGCTTCGGGAATTACGGGGTGAGCAGAAAAGCTGGGCTCTGCGAGCGGCAGCCTCTTCTGCAGCTGTGTAACGAGCGCAGATCGGTCTCTGGCTGAACTGGAGTGGGGGGTGGGGGCCAGCAAGCACACAGGCAGCGTGCTTCTGCTATTTTAACACATGCTTACAAAGGCCCCGAGCATCGGAGCCCCCCAGGTGCGGCGGCGGCATGGCTTGCTGTGACCTGCTTGCTCGGATTTCCTTTAAGCATCTCTCCAGCTATTTCTGGATGTTGCGCAGGGGCCGGCAATGCAAGGGTGAGGGCGTCAGGTGCTGTTGTGCCCCGGCCTCGGTCCCAGAATGGGCAGGCCCCTGGGGATCTCGGAGCCTTGGCCTGGCCTGGTGAAGACCGTCCCGAGGCCCCCCTGACGTGGAAACTGGAGCCCCAAAGGCCACCGGCCTATTCTGGAGCCCCCTCCCCTCTGCAGGCCCAGACACGGACTGCCTGCAGCCCAGGGGGTTTCCGCAGAGTCCCTGCTCTGTGTGCCCTGCCCGTCCCCCTCGGGCCGCGCCCTGCCTTCCAGGGGGCTGACCTACACCGTCTCCACTGAGGCCCCAACCCCAGCCTCAGGAAGGGGGTGCCCTTCCCAGTTCATCCCCAGCCCTAGTGTTCTGTGACGTCACCCCTGCATGACAGTTATGCTACTCTTTTCACTCAGACTGGTAACACCAAGTGTTAATCTAAAACATCTCCCTTCGAAGGCACGGTTTCTGACCGGATGTATCACTGCTTCCCAACATCCTTGAAGATAATTAAGGGCTGCCTGGGCAGACTTTCTGAAGAATATCTTTGTGATTGAAAGAGAAGAACAGGGAGAAGCAGACCGGTTGCCCGGACGGGCACCCCTGCACGGCCCCAGGGGCCGGAAGCCGACCGGGAGGAAGAGGCGCTCTGGACACCCGTCTGTGTGGACCCCGGCTGGTTCTCAGTGCCCATCTCAGTCTTACCAGCAATCACGACCAGAAGAGGAGCTCCTTAGGGCCCAATCTTTATCTTGTTTTCCTGATTTACCTTTTAATTTCTTTGTTCTCTAACACAGACTTAAAAAATTCAGTTACTAAATACCTGCGGGAAACATTACTTTTGGTTTACACAATTTCAAATTAAGATACGAAAACCACAGGACGTCTGGGGTGGCGAGCGAGAGGATGTGCAACCGAAAGGACTGTAAACACAGCACAGTGACCACAGATGCATCTGCGTTGCCAGGGGCATCCAACCCGCAGCTGCAGGTCGAAGGTGGCCCAACACAAAATCAGAAATTTACTGAAAACATGATGAGATTTTTTGTGGTCATGTGTCGTAATGTACTCAGCGTGTGGCCAAAAGGTTGGACACCCTGCTGACTAGGCTTTTGCCAGGCGGGGGTGGGAGTATTCTCTGCTACTAAACAGACACGGACATACATAAATGAACAGACTGAAAACTCCTATTCACACGAACTGGAGATGAGTGCTGAGCACTGGGTCGGGGCCTCTGCCCGAGAGGACCCGGGGAGGTTCTGGGTCCAAGAGCGTGAGAAGCGCTGCTTGGTGTCGGGGAGCTGTACGGCTGAGAGCCGACAGGTGAGCCCCGGGCCTGGTGCCCAGCACACGGACTTACATGCAGCATTGATAGAGCGGGGCCAGGATGCTCCTCTCGTCCAGGGCAGGGTTCCCAAAGCTGGAAACGAAACGAGACCTGAGTGGGTTAGGGGGAGGCACCAGTTCCCTTCTTAGAACCAAAGCAGAAGCAGACTCTGTAAGAAACCCAACTGGACCCCGAGTGACGTCCTGCCCCCGCGGCTCGATCACCTGAACTGAGCAGGCATGGTCGACTACACACCGGATTCCGAATGTCAGCACGGAACCACAAACACGCCCCTTTACAAGGACCCCCTTCTCCTGAAGACACAGCACAGTGCCGAAACAGGACCATGACAACACAGACCAGCGGGGCAACCTGAGGGCCTTGAAACCCGAGAAAACTTCAAGGGTGGGTGGAGAAACATGGGCTCTTCATATGAGGTTCCTGCCAATAAGCAGGTGGTCGTTACTTGTAAAAAGAAGTTACAGCCTTGGCCAGTGTGGCTCAGTGGGTTGAGTGTCGCTGCCCTGCAAACCGAAAGGTTGCAGGTTCGATTCCCAGGCAGGGCACGTGCCTGGGACTGTGTACAACAGTGGCTCCCACCTGCTTTGCTGGGAGAGGCGGACAGAGAGAGGCATCGTTTGCTGGCCTGTCACTTTCTGTGGCTGTCATCTCTGTCCGAGCACCAGGTACCTGGTGCTCAGTGTCGGTGGTGGCATCATTAGCAAATGCTGCCCGAGCATCCTTTGCCGAGGACCCACGTCCTGACTTCCTCTCAGGAACCAGTGTTCACCGTAGTGACCCGGACAATTCTGGTCTCCAAAGAAGCACCCAGCTCTGGGTGACTGAAAGCGTGGCGCTGAGGGGCACCATCAAGGACGCAGAGCGCAGACCCAAAGTGCAACGGGCTCTTCAAAGAGCTTGGACTTAAAAAATAAAGACGGTCTGCCTTGGTAGGTGTAGCTCAGTGGATTGAGCGCAGGCTGGGAACCAAAGGGCCCCCAGTTTGATTCCCGGTCAGGGCACATGCCTGGGTTGCAGGCCAGGTCCTCAGTAAGAGACACATGAAAGGCAACCACACATTGATGTTTCTCTCCCTCTCTTTCTCCTTCCCTTCCCCTCTCTAAAAGTAAATAAGTAAAACAAAAAAAGACATTCCACTTATTCAAAATTAATAAAATCATGTTTTTCAGGATGAAAGTAACTTGTCTTTATATACAATCACTAAGCAACCTCTCTTCCTCTTACAACAGCGAAGGGCTGGGCCCAGACTGCTGCTGAAAATCGCTAATCCGCCCTGGCTGGGTGGTCAGGTGGTTGGAGCACCGTCCTGGGCGCCAAAATGGCGCAGGTTCGATCCCTGATCAGGGTGCAGGCAGGAGGCAACTGTCCATGTTTCTCTCCCTGCCTCCCCTCTCTCTAAAATCAGTAAACATATCCTTGGGTGAGAATTGAAAAAAAAAACAGCCCATCAAAATATTAACCTTTTAAAATTGCATGAACCTTTGGATGAAATAAGTTTAACAGCAATCAGATCTCATGTTCTATTAAAAATGTATTTCTCAAGATTCTGAACATCACAGTTTTAAGAAAGAATGATGTGAGTAGCGGTAAACCAAAGGCCTTGTTTCTAGCCGTTGATGAACGGAATCACAGTCTTTAACTCCTGGGGAAAAAAACACGTCTCCATGTTTTCAAGTCCCCAGATCCCCAAGGGTGGATGGAGGAAGGGAGGCCTGAACAAGCTGGAAGATGGGGTGGCCACCCGCGAAGACCCCGAGCGGAGATGGGAAATGTGCCTTCTGCCCAGCGCATCCCGGCTCTTCCGGGACGGCCGAGAGAACGGCCTTGTTGTCCGCACAGACCCCCCCCCCCAGGGCCAGGGCGGTCCCGAGGGCCTACCTTTTGGCGTTGTCCAGGAGGATGAGCATACTGGCGCCTTCGTCGTCCTGGAAGCTCTCGTAGTGATGGCGGTCGGCGTTGCCGATCAGGTAATCGAAGACGGCGGTGTCCACGATGTCCAGGAGACGGGGGCCAGAGTCGTAGGGGGACGTCTTCTTCACAGCATCGCAGTAGCTCTCGTCGTACTCCCACCTGGAGGCAAGCGCATCCCTCACCGAGAGCCAACGCCGCCCGGCGCCGTCTACACGCAAGGAGGCCAGGCTCCCACCTGGCAGGCCTACCCGACCCTCCGCATCCTCTGTGGTCCTGGCCAGAACCCGGCCTGCATCCAGGGCCGGCGCCGGGCCAGGCGCAGGGGAGAACGACGCAGCAGCCCCCAGGAGCGGTTACCTGGCCAGCTTGCCCTCTCGGTACGTCCTGCCCCAAGGGTGTCGGTGCTTCTGCAGCGGCCACACGTCTGGAAGCCACAGCGTGACAGACCCCTCCATGGTGTCTCCGTCGGCACAAGCCGGCTCCGTTTCTCGGCAGTAGTAACACTTCCCGTAGAAGCAAGTATTGTTTCCTAACGGAGAGGAAGGGGCCAAATACACTTCAGAACAAAAGAGGAGGATTCCAAACTCTCCCCAATGAAGTAAGCGGATACGGTGAAAGCCAAGATCCTGAACTTACGTTTAAAACTGCACAGGAAATAAAAGCACACGGTGTAAGACAAATTCAAAAAGCAGAAAAGGACACATAGGAAAAAGTCCGTCTCCCTTTCTCTGTGCCCTTTCCACCTGCTCTCTCTCCAGGAGCCCACTGCTGCCCAAGCGTCTATCGAACCCACTTTGAGCACAAGTTCTTTGGAAAAGCACTGGCCCCTTGGGTTTTGTCAGAGCCCCGGGAGGAAGGAGATACGGCACGCCCAGGGTGGCAGGGGCGCAGACCCAGCGGGACACCCCAGACAAGGGGCAGATTCATGTCCCAGAGCGGACGGTGTGAGACTTCATCACACTACTCTGAATGGTGCACAATTGAAAACTGATGAACCATTTATTTCTGGAATGTTCCATTTAATATGTTTACCAAATTCCTTCCACTCTAGACTAGCTCTCAAATCTCCCCCCATCCCTGTTTCCCTCTGACTCCTCCCGCACATGAGTTCCCTCCAAGAGCCCCAGGCGCCCCCCTTCCCAGCTCATCCCTGACAAGCTGCCCCAGGTGGCTTTCTGAACTTTGAGCCTGACTTTTCCACGCCCAGACCCCTTCAGTTCCCCCCACCCCGCCCCAGTGCCCCAGGAGAAAGCCTCTACTGTGGGCCGGGGCACAAGCCCCCTCTGTGACGCTGCCCTGACCACCTGCCCCACTCAGCCCCACACTTGGCCCCACGCAGACCCTCACCTCACAGCAGGGGACTTCCAGTTTCCTGCCATCTGCCCTTACAAGGCCCACTGCCCCCAAGAACCTGAGAGCAAGCTGCCTATACTGCCTTCAGTTCTTCAGTTCCTGGAAGCCAGAGGTGGCTGCTCAATGACACCCCATTCAACTTCCTAACCACGCCCCCCTCCCAGCATCCTCTCCGGTCTTCTCACCTACGGTGAGGAAGGTGCTCAGGAGCTGCTCCGTGGCGACTGGCTTGACCTCTGTCCGCAGATTGACGAATCTGCCGACCACCAAGGGGGCTCGGCGGAAACCCAGAATCCTGGTTTGGGAGGTTGAAGAGGAGAAAGACAAATCTCTGGGGATATATTTTAAATAGCAGTCTCAAAAATCATGGTTAATGATGTTAACTGCGTAAAGGAATTGTTGACGGGTGGGTATTTTTTAGAGGTGCAGATATTCATAAGTTTAACATCCAGATGGATGTAGAATATACGTCAGCAAAAAGGATAAGGTGAACCTGGCAAGAGCTGAGTAACTACTTATTCCAAGGAGTGGGCACATGGGTTCATTTTATTCTATTCTCTACACTTTTGGTTGTTAGAAAGTCTTCATAACAAAATTTTAAATAAATTTCAACAAGGCATTAAGAAAACTGGGTCTGAATCCACCCACACTTGGGTTCGAAGCTTTGGGTAACACAGCAAGCACACTGGCAGAGGATGACACAGGTTAACGTCGAAGGACAGACCTGCAGGACAAATCAAATGCAGGTACATCTGAAGACACTTCTCTCTAATGCTCTAAAGGTATGACCTTATGGATGAGCACAATAATTTTTTAGAAATGGTATTTCCTGTCTAAAAAATACACATTCACCGAAGAAAAGGTGAAGGAGCAGGATTTGGAACACACAGAGAATTTATAATGAAGAAAATAAAGACCCCCCCATAACGTACCCTATCTTTCACTGGTCTTTATTATACCACGGTCTGGGTCTGACAAAACCTTTAAAAGTGGCTGTGTGGCGCAGTGGTTACCCAAGAGGAAGGGGTCGGGGGAGGAAGAAGAGGGTGGGGGGGTCAAGGGCATGGTGACGAAGGGGACCTGAGTCTGGGTGGTGAGCACACAGTGTAATACACAGAGTGTGAGGATGTGTTACAGAACTATACACTTGACGCGTATAGTCAGTCTTATCAACTAATGTCACCCCAACAAATTTAAACAAAAATTTTTTAAGGCTGTGCAATAAAAACCCACTGTTCAGGGCTGCTGACTGACTTTGTCCTAAACTCAATCTTGGAAAAGCCACAAAACAAGGAGATGGACGGTTCTGGCAAAATAACATAAAAACAGAGAGAAGCTCCTGAGGCCAGAGAAGGCAGTCACACCCTCATGAAATGGAGACATAACAACCCAGAGCGGAAGACTGTGAGGAAGGAGCCTTGGATGAGAAAAAAGTGGGGAAGAGTCTTTCCTCCCCGACGCCCCCTGCCAGGCCAAAGCCCAGCAGCCGGCTGGGCTGCACGGAGCCTTGTCCCGGCGGTGGCAGCGGATAAAGGGGCGGGGGCTCCGGCAAAAGAAGAGCTTCCACATTCTGAGGTAGAGAAGGACTTTTGAACACAAAACCTCCCAAAGCACAAGTGATACAGTGAAACATTATTATATTTAATCGGCTTCAAAATGGATGATTTCTGTACAAAGACAACTTCACTCCAAGTTAGGGAACAGGAGTTGTGCTGCGAAAAGATTAAGGAGAGACTAGTTTGGCCAGTAATTGGGGAAATGCAATAAAGTATCGAGACAGCACATCACGTGTTAGGGCAACAAAACCTGGCGTGAGACATGAAATATGGGACGCACGCAGGAAAGTGACCTGCACGCACTGCTGGTGTCTGTCGACAGGGGAAGAGGAAGGAAGGGGCAATGAAGAAAACCGGAAGGAAGTGAGGCCCTGGAAAGACTGATGCTCGTGTGCCAGCAAGTGGGGAGCAGGATTTATCACCGAACTCCTTCCCACGAGGTCTTACAGAGGCGTGAAAATTCACGGAATTATGAACAGACATTTGTTTCACCTTTCCCACAGCACTGGAGGGTTTTAAATTGCCACCAGTTTTTCCACTTCGGAAAATGCTATAGCTAAGACTGTGGTATATGTATCTTTGAATTTTTAATTATTTCTCTAGGGTCCTTCCTAGAAATATCATAAATGTTTGCATAACAAGGTATCACTCATTCAAAGGGTACGAATGTTAAGCTTTTTGACACATAAGGCCAGAGCTCTGATCGGAAAGACGGAACCAATTAACAGTGCCAGACGCAGCCTAGGAATCTCAATGGATTCCTGCCCGTGAGGTTTTATTTAAAAAAAAAGAAAAGTCTTTGCCCTTTTCGGCAGGAGGAAATAGTACCCCGGCGTTTCAACAGGACTTTATGTATTACTGGTGGGGACAAGCTCCCTCTCCACATTCACCAGCAATCGACAACTTCTGTTCCACCCACAGTGTCCTCAGACCACTTTCCACTCGAGTCTCAGCCCATGTAGAGATCTGAGTGAATATTTCTATATTACTGCCATGTGCTCGCATTACATTAGAGTCAAGTATTTTCTCCTGGCTCGTTTGAGTTTACGTTTTGTTTAATGTTTCTTGATGTGCGAGTGAATTTTTCTTATCTAGTTGAGTCTACTGAGCTTTTCCTTTGTGATTTTTTTTAGATTATTGCTTTTATGCTTAGAAAATCCTTCCCAATACAGAAAAAGACAAAATTCACCTTAGTTTTTTTCTAATTTCCTTACAGATTCATTTAAAAAATACTGTGAGCATTTCTTTAAAACTCTGTCCGTGTGCCCTCACGAAATAGCAGGTCAGAAACACAACTGGGGTGCCGGACAGTTCACGTGCAAGGTTCCTGACGAAAAACACGTACTTTCCTAGTTAACTTACATATACAGAATTCGCATGCATTTTTCTTTTGGCATTATTCTAGTTACCGAAGCTGTGCCTCTCTTATATGAAGGACAATAAAATTCATGAAAATGTCATGCTGTTTCTAGCGCATGGGGATAAGCCGGTATCACGTCCCTGAAACAATAACAGGACAGTGTCACCTGGCTCAGTTAACACCCAGTGCAACCAGGACTCCAGTCCAGACTTTGGTTTTCACCCTGCCCTTGTACTTACTAATGACACTGTAGTTCATGAAGCTGACAGAGGGCGGACCAGTAGGACATGACCTAAAAAAGCCTGGAGGTAAGAAACTTTGGTATTACTTCCAGTACCACCCAAACTATGAGGCCCTCGTGCAAATTCAATGGGATCAGCCAATTAGCTATGCCAAGCAGGCAACAGCGAGCCAAAGCTTAGTGCTGCAGCCCCTGACGGAGTCCACACGCTCTCTCTTCCAGGACGTCTTCAAAGGGAAACAAAACACAGGAAGCCCGCCGCGACCAGACCCACCTGTCCAAGTGAAAGGCTGCCACCTCTGCGTTGTGTCTGTCATAACCAGCGTAGGGCTCCCCTTCCACCACGTAGTCTCGGCTGTACCTGCGGAGCGAAGGAGGGGACATGAGCCACGTCAGTCAGCACCACGGGCAACGGCCCGACCGAGTGCCAGCAGGCCTGGATCCACCCGAGTCACTGGGGGACAGGGTGCAATGGAGGAGGAACCAGGGCCCTGCGCCGGCGATCACAGGGGCGCTCAGACACGGGGGAGGTCACCTTTACCCCGTCTAAAAGGCTTCCCGTGTAGTTTGAGCAAGACCCCGAGACAACTTTCTGGGAGGCAAGGACCACCTTCCTATCTCCGAGACAGTGGAAGAGTGGTGCTTAAGAAGTGTTTACTAAAATGTTTATTAGACGAGCCTAAGAAACGAAGGAAAAATGTAATTAAAGTGCTTGTTTACCAGAATGGCTACGGAGAAAGGCTTATGAGAGAAGTTTAAATTTCCTAAGAACAAGCAGTCCTGATACACCCCAGTCTTCATTATCATGTAGGCGGAGGTGCATTTGAAAAAAGCTGAATCCCCACCCTCTGCTTCGCTTTCGGTTTACGAAGACATTAGTAATGGAAGAGACGCTGGCCGCGAGGGGCAGCTGGTATGCGGCTACCTCACCTACCTGGGTCGCCCTGAGCAAAACCCTTCTGTCTGGGACTTGCAGTCCTTACCTACAGTAGGAGGGGCTTGACTGGGAGGTAATTTCTGAGATCTGTTTCACCTCACACTCCACTCTGATGATTTTGCATCATATGCATGACATAAAGGATAATAAAATCTGGCATACTTCTTTCTGCTAATCACAGAAAGAGATACGTGTAAACCTATTAATTAGGAAAAATGAGACACTTAATTCACCTGTGACTTCCACTGTTCACCTGCATTTCCTGGTCCGAAAGGACACCCAGGGGGCTGCCCTGGGCACTGCCAAATGGAAGCGCGCTGAGCATGAAGCCCAGTGCAGAGTTGCTCTGCTAAGGGCACTCGGCCCTCTGGTGCAGCGACCTCCAGCATAAGGGACTTGGAACATGAAGTGAAGGTCGCCCACCAAACGCACTTACCGAGGCAAAGTGGGGAGCGCTAGAAGGCAGCCACGCACCAGCGCCTGGCTGGACCAATTTCTTCCTGGCGTTGCCGACAGGCTCGAAGGCTGGTTTTCGTTCTAAGGTCAGAGCACTCACTATCCAGGTGATCAGGGATCCCACCGGCTCCCTCCAAATTGAAAGCCTCAGTTTTTAAACAGGACAGCAGGCAAAGCTGCCACTTCAAGCGCCTCTCTCTCGTGACAGCAGCTGTTGGCCGGCGTCAGCTGGGGGGCAGGCCTTGGACACTTTGTTTGTCAGGCTCCAGGGGAGCCACAGGGACAGAAGTGGAGACACGCAGTCCGCTCCTCTCTGAGAAAGAGAGCTTTCCAATGTATCGAAAGGCCGCTTGGCAGGGAGTGGAAGACCCCAGAGGGATCCGGGAACTCTGGGGGTGGGCTGGAGAGGGAGGGAGCGGAGGAAGAGGAAGGGCTCAGAGTCAGAAGGAAAGAGCGGCCCTGGAGTTGGACGGTCCGAACCCTCTGCTCCCACTCGGCTGCGTGAACTAGGCCGGTCGGAGCTCTGGGCCTCGTTTTTGCCGTCCGTGAAGGAAGCAGCTGGACTAGCTGAGCTGCGGGGTCCCTCTCAGCACTTCCTAAGACCACCCCTCACTCTGCCCACTCCCAGGCCCCTGCCGTCATGTGCCTTCTGTCACTGCGGCGTGTGCTGTGACAATTCACTTCCAGAATGGGTACGGCTACCCAGAAAAAAAATCACGTCTCTCCTGTCCTCCGCCTCTGGGAGCAGGACAGGGACCAGCGGGCTCCAGTGACACGGGAGCCACGGTGGCTGCTACAGGAAGGGGCAGGTGTCACTTAGCAGTGAGGACCCGGCTCCCCCTCTCAGCTCAGTGATCCATCTCAAGTCCCCAACGTGGCAGCCAAATTCATACAGTAACGGCTAATAAACCACTCCTGCCGCCCCAGTGAGGGCTGTCAGAGTGTGACCAAGGGCAGTACCCGGCACCCACACCAGCACCGAGGGGCCGCTGAGGCCCCGGAACAGAGCAGCGATGCCCTGGGGACTTCCGGACTGGCATCGACGTCCATGAGCACTTAAACGGACACCCCCCCCCCACCCAGCCCACGACAGCGCCAGGCCAATGAGCATGGGTCAGGGTGGTCAGTGACTCAGAGCACTGCCTGCCTTGCAGGGGCCCGTGCAGCTCGCAGGGTCTGGGAGGACACAGGCAGGACAGGAGGTGGGGAGGGAGGAGGGCCAGTCTGACAGAAATCCGGAGCTGGGTCCAGAGGGGAAGACTGGGTGGGGGAGGGCCTGGCCACCAGGCTGTGGGCGCTGGGTTTTGTCTGGTGGGCAGCGAGAAGCCGCTGGATGTCTAAGGCTGGGTAGCAAGGGGATAACACGGGTGTCCATGGGGAAAGAGTAAGAGTGGTGTTCAGCATGGTCTGGAAGAGGAGGCAATGGGCAGGCTGCAGTGCTAGTGAGAGACACGAGAGGAAGCAGCAGCGACTGAGCTTAGGTTACGCTTTTACCTGCGCCCCTGCCCCAGGCACTGTCGGACCTCTGCTCCCGCCACTCGTGCCCCGAGTGAACGCCGTGCAGAACTGCTGGACCGACGCGAACACCACACACCATCAGCACTCGCTGGCTTCTCACCCTTCCTGCTGTCCCGTCTCACCCTCAGCTCTGCGATGTACCAACAGCGGGTATGGAGAGGCTGTCCTCTCATTTAAACACAAAATGCCTGCAATGCCTCTCTCAGCTGATCTCTCAGGCTGTAAAACCACGAGGCCAAGGACCACATTTCAGAACTAAACTGGCGATTTCTGATGGGCCGGCTCCAGGCCATGACGCTGCCAGGAAGGCAGACGCACTGAGAGATCACGCCCCGCAGATGCAAAGCCGGCTCCACTCACTGCTGCGGGGCGACCTTGCCAAGTCGGTTCCTCGCTCCGAGCCTCAGGTGCTCACTCCGGGAAGAGGCACTGCGCCTGCCCACAGTGTGCTGCGGGTTAAAGGCATTAGCAGACAGATTGGTGCAATGCCTGGCCGGTGGTGCCCGTGCGGTGGAAATCACACCCCGAAGCCCACACAACCACACTTTTTCCACAACACCCGCCAACCAGACTTTTCTAGTCTCCAAAACTCTGCTGCGTCTTTCAACTCTCCTAATTCCCACAACTTCCGCACCTCACGCTTCCCGGTGCCAGGTAAACCCAGATCCTGCCGATTTCTGGGACCCCACACAGGAGGTCTCTGGCTGCCTATTATCGCTGAGAGGTGGGCAATGAAGGGCGCGGACCCCACTACCTGGGTCACAGCTGAATTCTGTACATTTTACCCCGTATTCTCCTCCCACTTCATCTAGCAAGACACCCAAAGGTACGTGTTTTAAGTCTTTCAAAAGCTCCACTGAGGAATAAAAAACTTTTAGTACACAGAAAATTTTAGACATTATAAATTTTGAGAATTTTTAGTAACTAATTCCTGGCCAAGAAATATGAGTTGCCATGTTAGCCTATTTCAAATTCATATACTCACAGAAAACTTTAAAAAAATGTTTTTATTCCTCACTGGAGGATACGTTTATTTATTTTAGAGAGAGAGAAGGGGGAGGGGGATGGAGAGGGAGGGAGAGAGAGAAAGAGAAACACCGATCAGTTGCCTGCCATATGTGCCCTGACCGGGAATCGAACCCACAACCTTTTGGTGCACAGGACGACACTCCAACCAACTGTGCCACCCAGCCAGGGTTCACAGAAAACTTTAAAAAAGTTAATTACACTATAGAATTGAAATATAAATGATCTCTGTAGATCCTTAGAGAAGTCCACAGGGGCCACTGTTTAACACATAGTCCACTCTCTGGCTTGAGTTTTGGACTCAGGTAACTAAAATGGCCCAGTTCTCTGCCGATAGCAGGTGAAAGGAACAATGAGATTCCACTGCACACCTACGAGAACGGCCAAAATCCAAAACACAGACACCGCCAAACACCGGTGGGGATGACATAGGGCAACCGAAACTCATTCACTGCTGGTGGGAATGCAGAACGGTGCAGCCTCTGTGGCAGGTCCTGCAAATTAAACATATCCTCACCGGAGGACCCAGCAACTGTGCTCCTTGGTATTTAACCAAATGAGCTAAACACTAGCATCTACACAAAAGCCTGCACATAAATGTTTACAGAAACTTTATTCATAATTGCCGAAACTTGGAAGCAACCGAGATGCCCTTAAGTGGGTGAGTGGATAAGCAAACTGTGGTAATGCAGACTTTAATGGGACAGTATCCAGCAACAGAGATGAGCTGTGAAGCCACAGGAAGACCAGCAGAAACCTCAAATGCATGTCGCTGAGCGAAAGGCGCCGACCTGAAAAGGTGGGATTCCGACCACATGTGCTCTCGGAAAGGCAAACCTATGGAGACAGTACACAGATCTGGGGTTGCTGGGGGCTGCTGGGGGCAGTCGGGAGGGAGGGAGGGAGGGAGGAACAGGTAGAACACAGGGGGTGTCTGGGGCAGGGAGGCCATTCTGCATGAAACTGTAATGGTAGGTACTTGTCATTAGATGTTCACCAAAACACACAGAGTAGACAACACAAAGTGAATCTTAATGTAAACTATGGGTGTCAGTCAATAAAATAATAATGGCTTATCATTTATAACAAATGTACAACACAGTGGAAGATGTTAATAATAGGAGAAAGTGCAGAGGGGGGGAGGGAACACATAGGAGCTCTCTCTACGCGTCCTCCTTGATTTTCCTGTAAACCTAAAAGTGCTTAAAAAAATAAATCTATCAGCCCTGGCTGGTCTAGCTCAGCGGACTGAGTGCAGGCCTGCAAGCCAAAGGGTCGCCAGTTCAACCCCCAGTCAGGGCACACGCCTCGGTTGCAGGCCAGGTCCCCACAGCGGGTCCACAAGAGGCAACCACACACTGATGCTTCCCTTTCTCCTTCCCTTCCCCTCTCTCTAAAAAAATAAAGAAATAAAAAATTTAAAATAAATCTACTAATTAAAATAAAAACAAAAACACCTACATTGGGGGGGAAAATCCTGGGTGAAAGCATCACAGCTTCCCGGACAAAAGGGATTTCGGCCCCTGATCCTGAACCCGCACCCACTCCGGGCCACCCCTCCTCCAAAGCACCGGGTGATCTCGTCTTTCACTGCACACTGTTGGTGACAGTTCCTTCCTGACTCATTTTGTGTCTCCAATATCTGGCACACAGTAGGCTTTTGATAAAGTTAGAAGGACAGCTCTAACTGTAAAGAGTTCAGCCTCATATGAAATCAAATCACGTTCCTATAACCTCCCCCACTCAAAGGCTCAGGGAACATCACGAGCCAGAACAGACTGCGGAGACCTCGGGGCCTACCCTCCCAGTACTGAGGAGAGAACCGAGAGAAGCAACGAAGCCCTTCTATAAACCCTGTCACCAACCCTCCAGCACCATGACCTTCCGGGACGAAGACTTACCGCTTAGGTTTGAAGACCACTTTCTGTCCTCCTTCAAGTATCAGTAAGGCTTTCAACTGTGTCCCTTTATAACCCACATCAGCTTTTACGACTTTCTTGGTGGCCATGGCATGCATGATCGCCCCCAGCTCTGGTGTCTCTTCGGGGTACACTTCCCGGGGAACCACCCACTGGGCCGCGATCTCCCAGGGAGACTGCAAGGTGTGCTCCAGCTTGGGCGCCAGCTCCACCCGCAGGCCAGCCATCATCCGGTGGAAAGCCTTCTGGTCCTCCCGGTTGGCAGCTGACGAGTCCAAGTTGTCAATCAGGAAAACTTTGGTGAAGATAAAGATGACGAGGAGGATTGCTAACAGCACAACCCGCTGCTTCAGCTTCATGTTGGCCTCTTGTCCTCCGCCCGCCCCACTCTCTCTCGCGTGTCGGAGAGCAGGTGGTGGTGGTGGTCAGCAAGGAGATCCCATGACTAGACACACTGGTGCATTTCTTCACTCACGTGACTCCCACAATTCCTGCAAGCCCAAGTGCAAAGAAAAATTCAATCGGAGATTCTGTTCTTCCCTGCTGAAGCTTTTGCAAGCCTGAAATACACTGTTCACCCTTTTAGCCTTGCTGGTCCTATGCTCGAGAAGCCCTAATAATCTAAAATGAACTAGTCCTGGGAAGGACTTCATGGGTAGAACCAGGTACAATGAAAACTTAAAAGCAAGGGCTCCTGTTTTAATGGGACGCAGAGTCACCTAGGAGCCACGTGGACGGCTACAAATTTCTAAGGACCAAAACAAGGAGGAAAAAGCACAACGAAAGTGAAACCTTCAGATATACACAACTTCCTAACTTTCCTTTTTATCTTTCAAAATCCATAAAGGACTTTAGAACATCCAACACCACCAGTATTTGGTAACTTTACAGCTCTTATCTTCTCCCAAGATAAGTTTTACGACACTCTGTAGACAGAAACTCCTACAACAGCCAAGAGGAGTACAGAGGAGACCAGTGACTCCTCCTCTGATCCCAGGTTTCCCACAATCATACCTGCCACATGACACGTGTCGTATCCGCTGATCACGTATTCACATACAACACCCAGACATGTATCTCCACTTAATCAGCTGTCCGCTAACTAAATTTTAAATTAAAATCCCTGCAAAACATGGATAATCAAATCTGGGTGAACTGACTAAAGGAAAAACACATCCCTGCACTATCTGGCTGTTGGCAGAACGTGACTGGAGAGCTGGTGAGACCCGGCACCACGGCAACACGAGTGAGTCTGGACCGCTCGCTCAGGCAGACAGGATGCTGGAGACAGCAGGAAGCGCTGCTCGGAGCGTGGGGCCAACCCCGCTCTGTCAACTCTCAAGCTAAAACAGTCCCAACTCAAGATTCGTGTATGGATGTCCAGGACGTACAATTCGGTGTCACCTGCCTGCTGACAGGCCGCTTCCCACTCACACGCAGGGCCATTTAAAACCAGCACGAGCTTGCCCAGCCACGGGCTTACACAGCGCTGGGCTAAGACAGCGAAGGCAAGAAGGCACCAGGGTGCTGCCCCACTCTCCTCCAACTCATTTAGTGGCTCACACCACACACTGAACAAATAAAGGCCATACAAGAGAGAGGGCAACTGAGTCCACCTGAGACCTCCCCCCGGACTGGAGACCGCCCCCCTAATGAGAGCCGAGACACAGCCAGAAACAGTGCTAGAGCCAGCGGTGGGTTCGGGGGGCCGCCCGGAGGTGAGCCTGCTGACACGCAGTATGCACTCAGTGCCTACCCAACCACGCTTTTCACTTCAGTTTTCAGGAAGTGGAGAGTCAGAGTCAAATTCAAGTTCTAATTACCTCCAGCCACCTGTTCTGTTTCAGCAGCATCATTTCCCAGTGACTACATAACCCTATTAGCTGAAACAAAGGCAATTCAAGTGCATCCAAAATGTAATTGTGATGGTATCGAGACTGGTGTGAAATGCAGTAAAACAGCTCCCTGTGATTACTGATGACAGCAACGCTGGGAGAGCAGATTGCAGAGACGTGTGTTAGTTCCATCGCAACCTAAACCACACCCACACACACACACACAGCTCAGGCTGCAGCGACAAGGCACCTCGTGGTGCCAGCAGTTGCTGCCTCCGCACCTCCAGCCGCAACGACAGCTCTGGCCCGCAGGGGGCAGCCCAACAGCCTTGTACTTCCTCTGAAACACCCCTCAGGACTGAAGAGCGGTTAACCCACAGACTTCTAGGAATGCTGCTCGTTTGACGTAAATAAGAGAAATTCCCTCATGCTCCATAAACCTATCATATGTAAACTTTTAGAATAAAGGTTGGAAATACAGAGGCTTGTTAAAAATCACCACTACAGGAAGTTCTAGCAGCTCCGAAATTCAGACAAAACAAAGTCTCCAACTCTGCAATCTGAGTGTGTGATTTTAGGTTTGAAATCTCATTAACCTTTGGAACAGGCTTCAGAACCCATTCATCACTTCAGGGCTCCAAACAGTTCATCTGCTCAACTGAGAGAGAACTTTTTACCAAGTGAACTGTGAGGACTTCAACTGTTGGAACTGTTTACCTCTGTGGATTAGCAGTGAGGGCAGGTTTAAAGAGGAGGCTAAACAAGTTTCAGTGCCGTGATTAGTCACCACATCCGGGGAGAACAAAGGCACCATTGGCACTGTTCTCTCCAACTGCCCTTCACCGCCACCCCCGTCCGCCAACTCCACTCAGCACCTGCCCCTCCACCTGGGCCACTGAAAGAACCGCCTTCTGGGCCACCAGGTTCTCCCATCCCGGCTGACAGTGCGGCAAAAGAAGCTTCCTAATCAATCATGCACCACGTCTGACTGCTGACCATTATACATTCCTTAGCAAAGAATCAAAGCCCCACCCGACACGGCCCCGGCCACCCACTTGGCTGGGCACCACTGTCTTCTCAGCTTCGACCTAAATGGACCACGAACATGCTCTGGTCACCAGTTCCCCACATGGTTGGCCCTTGCCCTTGTCAATCCTCACACAGGAACTCCCTCAAAATTCCTCTTGCTCCTACTCTTTCTTCCCACCTTGCTTGGTTTAAAAGCCTGGTCTGTCTCTCAAGGGCCATCTCCAAAGCCGTTTTTGGTTCCCCCTCACACTATGACCTCTCCCTCCTTTAGACCACTGCTGAACTACATTCTGCCTCGTCCAGTGTCTCCTTGTGCATAGCTCCAACTTTCCCTCTCAGAACCGTGGCTTCTCGGCAATCCTGGCCATCTTGACATTCCCTCCAGCACCCGACATAGTAAGGAGCCAACCAAACTGCTACAATGAGGCTCTGCAAACACCTTAAGACTTACACTAATCTCCCTCGCTATTTCGTATGGATGAGTGCTGGCTCTCCTTAATCAGCTACCCTCCCTTCTCTGGCAACCTGCTTCTCCACCCGCATTACTGACACTGACGGTTCAGAAGACACAAAGGTATTTAAGAAATCAACAACATGGAGATTACAGTGGGATTTCTACAGAGGTGTATGAGTTTGCAAGACTCCTCCTACTCCAGAAAAAGTGTACGATGTGGATTCGTTCCACCCGCTAATGACGGCACGCTGTACTTCTGCATCCTGGGGAGGGGAGGGCCCCCAAGACAGTCTCTCCAAGGAGTATTATCTCCCTTTCTTGTTTGAGACAGCAGCAGGCCACATGCTCTGCAAACTGGGTTTCTAAGATCCGCACATCAGGCACTAAGGAACTTAAAGCAGCACCACTGGGTGTATTCCAAATCATTTGTGCCAACTTCACCTGCATTCCCGGGAGCCTCTGCCTGCCTTCGCCTCCTCTTATAAATGCCTCCAAGGGTGCAGCACTGTCCAGTTGAATTATGGTCACTCACTTTAATGCTTCTGTTATGTGGAACAGAGCTTACCTCAAAATACAAACAGACTCAAGGTAACAACATAACTCAAAAAATGTTAAGTGTAAAAGAGGCGGCGAAGCCCGTGCCAGTGTGGCTCAGCTGGTCCCGTGCACCAGACAGCTGGGGGTTCTACTCCCTGTTAGGACACATGCCTGGGTTGCGGGTTCAATCCCCAGTCATGGTGGGTATAGGAGGCAGCCGGTCAGTATTCCCCTCTCACATGCAGGGATGTTTGTCTCTCGCAAACCAATAAACACATTAAAAAGATTAAAAGATTTTTAAAAAGAGGCAATTGAAATGGCAGTCTTCACACTAAAAGTTGGCATAGACTCCCAGACTCGCTTTCTGGAAGGTAGACCTCTAGGAAAATTCCTCTAGTAGGAATTTTTCTACTGACCCTGGTTTCGCTCCCAGCTCCACCAGCTAAATGAGGCTTGTTGTGGGGACTGTTTACCTTCATCACACACACACACACACACACACACACACACCCCATCCTACACATGACAAGTTTGGGACTATCAAGGTGTCTGGGAGAAGAGCAACAGATACACAGAAAAGAGTGAGGTTCTAGTGTGAAGTCCTCTGTTCAAGGACCTGGCTGATGTCCGGAGAAACGTGTACAGAAACACGCATCTGTGCAGAGGTCTGTAAGGCACCGTGGGATAAATCTGATGCGTGCGGCTGCTGAGGAACACGAGGACAATGGGCCAGCACTCACCGCCCACCTGCAGGTCCCACGAGCTGCCACAGAGGTTCCCAGCAGTGCCGCTTGAACCTCCCTCTGGTCAGGTGACCACCTCACACGGCTTCCCTAAGGTCAGAGAGAGGAAATCCTAACCTTTGCTCAGAGCAACTACAAGTGAAAGCTTGTAATAAACCTTTTCTGTTTTTAACTCAGTGGCTCAATCAAGCCCTCACCATACTCGGAACATCGCATGCCTGTGAGTGTCAAGTACCACAAGGAAAAAGTTAAGCATGAACATTTCACCGAGGGTGTGACTAACAAAAGCAATTTGTGGCAAAGGGGGTGCAATTTATTATAAAACTAGTATACGATCATCTTTACTCACATAAGCTCCCTGCCCTGGATGCTGAGAAGAAATTACCAGGCCCGTTTTACAAACCTCTTCAGTAATTACTGGTTCCAGCAAACTTCTGAAGGCTTGGTGAGCATTACGAGGTAAGACCTGAATTTAATGAAAAGATTTTGGGTGTCTACAATGACAGACACCAACAAACAACTCCTCCTCTCAGATGGGGGAACCTCTCTTCCTTCCCTCTGAATCTGAGCTGGCTTTGTAATGTGCAGAAGCCAACTTCTATTGGCTTCTGTAACCAACAGAAGTAACCGTGTCAGTTCTGGGCTTCGGCCTTGAGGGACCTGGCAGCTTCCACTTGGGACCTAACGGCTAAACAGAGCAGCTTGCTAAACCGCGGAAGGATGAGGGGCCTATCTGGGCAGAGACGCCTGGCCAGCCCCCAGCTCCTCTGGCCACCCCCGCTGAGACGCCAGACACGGAAGTAGAGCCATCAAGGGCACGGCGGTTCCAGTTAGGGTGCGAACTGAATTCAGCCACACACGTGACCCCAGCCTATACCGTGCGGGCAGAAAAT